TCCGTGTTGGTGTCTGTTCAAAATGTTTTCCTTTTTCTTTGGTGGATATATATATTGCATAAATGGAACGACACCTTTCGGAAAGCTCTTGACGAGACGGCTTCTTCAACGCCGCCGTTTTCGGCGCTGCCACTAATTATGTTTTGCGGAGAAAAATTGAGCTCTGAAAAGCGGTTCAGGGGACGTGGTATCTTGTGTCACCTCCGGTACGTGCTGCGGATCTTTTTCTTTTTTTTCCGTACTCGTAGACTGCCTCTGGAAATCAAAACACATCGTACTCCGGAGTATGCATATTCTGATACCATATTTAGTATAATACGAACACATATCGTCGGGTGAGGACTCTTCAATGGTGGTGCCTCTTTTGGCACTCTAAATACATGCCAGGTAGCACAGGGTATAGGCAATGCACCCCTGACCAGGGTGGTCTCTCCACAAGGTCTCCGGTACGGCGACCTTGTAGAACAACAGTCCCCGGCAGGGTCTCGACAGGGTCTGGACAGGGTGTGTACAGGGTGTTGGTCCCGCAGGGTACGCAAAAGGCGGAGCAAAGTGGCTACGTGTGAACTTGCGTTGAATTTCCATTTACCCCGCGACTCTTCCTCTCACGCGGGATTTGTACGGTGTGAATAATAACTTCCCGATTTTCCGGGAGTCCGATCTGTCAACCATTATTGGCTGGGGTTTCGCACAGCCCCACCCCGCACACACCACCTTCAGAACCAATAGCCGAAGTGCCGAAGTTGGAGATTCTCCTGCTCCAGGACAGCGATATAGCGGTGAGTGGTCATGGTGTTGATTCCAACGACAGCGTGCCAACTCAGTCGTTGGAAATCCTCAAGTCCCTGCTCGTGAAAATGCTTGCTGTGTGAAGCGATGGATCTGGATAACACGAAAACACCGTAACACACCATCTCATCAGGCAAGGGAGCGAGAGAGATGAAGAGATTAGAGACACACAGACAGAAAAAGAGAGAAAGAAGCTCAAGAACGGGAGGGAGACAGCCAGACAGACAAAGCAAGGTGTAGCATAGATGGGGGTGGAGAGAGAGGGCAGCTTGTTGAGAGAGAGAGAGAGAGAGAGAGAGAGAGAGAGAGAGAGACAGAGACAGAGACAGAGACAGAGACAGAGACAGAGACAGAGACAGAGACAGACAGACAGACAGACAGACAGACAGACAGACAGAGGGGGGCAGGGGTGAACGGCACACGACCTCGGGCTCTCTGAATATCGATGGTGAGCTTTGGTACCAGACCCACCTAAATTTTAGTCCCTCTACATCGAAATGCTGCCACCCACGTGCTGCCTCGAAAACAGGACCAGCTACCGTCTCGGGCGTCGGCCTATTAAGAATAGCTTTCCGCTGGAAACACACCGTCAGTGGCATCACACATTCTACAGTACATCCAGCACGCAATCACGAGCTCATGGCTCGGCCCATGTCGCCTCGTACTAATTCCGTAGTGCTTGACACACGGTAGCAGACGACCGCACACACAGAGAGAAACAACAACCAAACAATGCAGCGATTCCTGTGGATGCAGTGTACTGCTGTAGTTGCGCCGAGTGGCGCCGAGTGGCACTCGGCTCTCGTCAGATATCTTCATTCTGGAAAGACTTGCCAGGAGGCAATTTTTCACACTTTTTGTCTGAGACCAAGCTTGCTGAGACAAAAACAAAGTCCTGCAAATACATGTAGAAGAACAGGCTAGACTTTTGTAAAACACAAAGGCGGATCACTGCTGTACACAACAAACACCGCATCTCGCTGTCTATGCCCACAGACCAACCGTTGTTGCACACCCTTTCAGGGTATCTTTTTTGCAACCCTGCGTCTTACAATAAGTACAATAAGTCGGAATTTGAAATGCCCGCGCGGTGCAACCCTTTTTCATCCATCACTCTAGGCAATCAAACATCACACATCATCATCCTCGACGGAACAAATTTCTTACAGAGCTCTTGTCCACACTCTTCTTTTTCGTGAACAAGGCTGTCGAACCGCGTATGTCCCTGCGTTCGTTCACATCCAACTCCCACGACGATGGCGTCGCAAGAAAGTCTGTGACAATAAACAACAGAAGTAATCCACGGCATCGCAAATCTTCCCAAATGAGCGCGGACGCCGCAAGAAGAATCGCGAAGAAGTCGTCCACAGTGAAACATATACCGAAAGGTTGTGTAGACTTGCGCGCCCAAAAAAAGATTGTTTGAATCACTAATAATCTACCCCAACACCGATGGCGATCATATCCTAACAACCGTACGTAGTGCTGGCTTATTTTAGCGAGCGCGGTCTTTCTCGACAATACGAACCGACGGACCAAAGTTTGTGTTTCACTCGCCGAATGAAACTGGGGTTACAGGGGGGCGCGCAACAGGAACACGTCTGTCTTCCGCGTGGAACCTCAAAACATGCATTTGTGTCTACACCACGAATTACATGCCTTGGTAGGGCGGTGCTTGTCGCTGCGCCCAATTTCATTGTTGAAATTGTTGGTCCAAAACGAATTCTTGCATTCATGCGACTGCACTGCTTGTAGTCTGAGAGAATGGCATGATAAGCTCGAGACGGGTTGGTTGGGCCATTCATGTGTGGTTCAGGGAGCCCATTTCCCCGAGATCCCTTCGTCACAGGATTATTCTAGACAGGAGCAGATGCTGCAAGAGGAATATTAAGTGGTGGTGTTTCTCCGTGTGCCGGGTCTCCCACACTTTCGGCAGTTTTACTACAACGCCCATGGGCACTGTGTTGCCCATAGTTGGCCCATGGGCAGCCCGTATGGGCCGTCCATAGGCATGCTCATGGGTAGCCCATGGTAAGCCCATGGGCGGCCAATGAGAGCCCTTCCACCGAACCAGTGTAATCCAAAAAAATGATTGTTGCGGCAAATAACCCTAACCAATAACCCTAACCCTAACCCCAAGCCCACATGATAGGTGCTAGGTTGGCGCTGGTGGCGACGTTCTAGGTTGATGGTGGCTAATTTCCAGGTTGGTATGCCGGTGGCGAAGTACTGCATGGGTGAAAGTGCCCACGGTGGGCACTTGATGGGCATTTTATGGGCCGCCCGTGGGCATGCCCATGGGTCACCCATGGGTGTCCCATGGGCGGCTCAGTAAAACTGTCAGTAGTGTGGGACATTGCGTGTGCCCAGCACTCCTAACCTGTGATTGGACCCTTTCGTACAACCTCCTGCGCGTCCCCCCTCCCGGGGTAGAGCCGTTATTTGGGATCCTAGCCCGCTAGACATAAGGCTGACAAAGGAATAACCTAGTTCCAATGGCTAGCTGGCTGGCGTGGTCGATACAAGTCAATTCACTATGTTGCCTGATACAGAACGGGCCGGGAGATAGAAAACGTAAGAGTCGGGTCGAGCCTCAATTTCATATTTTGGGCAGAAACATCTGCCGGCATCGGCCAATTTCTTAACACGAACTACTTATTCCTTTGGGCTGTCTGTCGCATCATGCTGATTCTCGTATTTTCTTACTTCGAGTATTTTCTTATTTCTGGCGAAGAGTACAACAGCACACCCAAGGCTTCATGCAGCACTAAAAACGACAGCTCGGTTTTTGCCGCCCTCGAGGACTTCCTGACTCCCTCCTCTTGGTCCACCTATAATAGCAGCACCCACACCCCAACGGTCGCGGTTTCGTCCGTGCTACACGACTCCAACGGCAACTTGACGCTGCGTGTGCTTCCATCAGAGTGCAGCATGACGCGGTAGTCGTAGATGTGACGCGAACTTTGAGTTGCTCTACGAGTTATGACTTCCCCGAATCAACCTAACCCAAGTTTTACGAGCACCCCTCGCTTCTCAAAAAATTGTTCAAGGGCGGGCGGTCGAGACCCCTGGAGACGAAACCCGTCGGGGACATCCGTCCTGAGTATCTCCTCCTCAGACGACAAATCGTCATCGCAAAAAACGAAGCTAGGCAGGTGGTGGGAGCATGGCAATAGCAGCAGCGGGGCATTTCGTATTGGACATGGTGCCCCAGTTCCCCTTTGTTTCGTATACCCTAATAGGTGTATCGTACGATCCTTTTTCTTGTTGCGACGCTTCTTATGCTGTGGCCGAGACTGAGCGATGTTCTCAGCCCTTTTTTCTTTTTTTTTTTTGCGTACACATTTGGACCTTTTTTCTGGGCAGAGTTTTTCTTGATTGCGGGCCCGTTCTGTATGACGTCTGAACGCGTACGAGTGATATGCCCAAATACCCCAACCCTTCACCCATGAGCACCATATGTTCAGAGGGTCTCCCACACTTTCTACAGTTTTCCTAAACGACCCATGGGACTCCCATGGGTCACGCATGGGTCATGCATGGGCCGTTCATGGGCATCCCGTTAGGCCCACGGGCCGCCAATGAGAGCCCTTCAACCGAACTAGTGTATTCCTAAATATATTATCTGCTTTGGAACGGGCACAATAACGGCTAATAACGCTGACGCTAACCATAACCCCAAGCCCAAGCCCACACGATACGTGGTACGTTGGCGCTGGTGGCGAAGTTCTAGGTTGATGTGGTGGTAGCTAAGTTTTAGGTAGATATACCGGTGGCGAGCTAGGTTGAAGTACCCACGGTGGGCACCTCATGGGCTCTGCATGGGCCGCCCGTGGGCATGCCCATGGGTCACCCATGGGCAGCCCATGGGGGGTTAGCAAAACTGTCAGTTGTATTGTTTGCAGACAAGGGAGTGGGTCACTACACAACCACCGTCGGAACAAATGTTGCATCGCCAGAGACAGAACAGACGTGCGTCTCTTGTTGGCTCAGCAATATTCCAAAATTCTACAGGCGAGAAAGAATGCAGACGTTGTTCCCAATGGATATGGATATACAACACGTTGCAAGTTCAGTTTTCTTGCTTGGCTTGTTGCGTTCCTCTTGAACGAGAGTACTGTATCCCACTGGAGTCCCTGAGAATAAACCCATCGCACCTGCTTGCCACCCTCCCGTTTCTGTCGCACCCTTTCGGTCCTCCACAGGAAAAAATGTACACGAAACTCTTCTCGTCGCTTGCTCTTCTCGTGATCCCGGGCGTTGCCCGTGGGCTGATCGAGACGTGTGAGGACCTTCAGGCCGCCTTCGAGCTGACCCAGACGCAGGACGTGGTGGATGAAATATCCACGTTCGGGGACATCGAGTGCCCAATGTTCACGAACATGACCATGACGTCCAACACGCTCACGCTCAACTCGGCGGAAGACTTGTCGATCACCTCCGGAAGCACCTCGCTGATAAATGTCAGGCTCGAGGTCACCAACGGGGCGAAGCTGGTCTGGGAGACGAGCGTGTTCTTCCTGGGAGACGAAGAAGTCGAGAACAATGTCAACGGCGGAGGCGTGTTTGTGGGCGAAGGCTCCACGGTGCGTTTCCTGAACGACGTGCAAATAAGGGACGTCCGCATCACCAACGAGAGGGATGGAGACTCTGACAACGCCGTGTTCGTGCGCGACGGAGGCTGTGTGTGGACCGCTGGCTTCTTCCGGGTTGACGGAGAGGCAACCTTCACGAGCTGCGCCATCATCGGCACTGGAGAAAGCCCCCCGGGATCGGGGGGAGCGGTCTTTGTGGACGCGACAGGGTCCGTCCTCTTCAACCAAGGGGTTGCGATCAGCGACACATTCATCACCAACGACGGAGGCGGCGACGGTGGCGGCATTTTCAACCTCGGCAAGGTTAACATCAAGGGGGACTCCCGCTTCGAGGAGCTTTCGGCGAGATCTGGAGCTGCCATTTTCAACGGCGAGGATGCAAGCTTCAACTTCAGGAATGGGGCAAGCGCCTTTTTCCGGGACTTGTCGAACCGCGACTCCGAGGGAAGCGCTCTGGTAAACCTGGGGTTCTTCAAGTTCTCCGGCCCGGTTCTCTTTGTCGACGCCGAGGCGCCCGTGATCGTCGCAACGGAGGGCAGCACGACCATCATCTCGAGGGACTCGGCCTTCTGGATGTTCGAGAACGACGACGTCACTGGCGAAGCTATTTCCGTTGCTGATTCGGCTGAGGTTTCGATTCCCGGCTCCGTTTCGTTCGTTGGCTTTTAGTTTTTAGGAGCCTTCGAGCTAACCTGTTATTCGTTGGATGATTCCACGTCCGGACGGACCCCATCGCATAGATAGAAGGTAGAAGAAGTCTGGGTGATATATTTGTTGGTGTCGTTGTCGCTTTGGCACCGCGTTGTGAGGTGTTTCTTGGTGTCCGGATCATGACGCGCGGAGCAATAGCTAGCGGAGTAGCTGAGCAAAAGCGGTCCGTTCAACTGAAAGTCAACAGGCAGTTATCACGGAATCCGAGATGTGAAGGAGGTCCTCGGAGAGAGATCTGTAGAGAATCATAGGGGCCGGGCATAGGCATCGACGGCGGCAGAGTATCGCTTTTCAGTAGGCCTTTGTCTTGGAAGGGAGCCTCTTCTTACGGCAATCATGTCGGTCGCAGTAGAATCACTGGCAGAGTCACGTGTTCCCACGACTTTAAATGCCTTCATGACACAGGATGGACGTGTTTGTATGCGATTTAGTGTGTTTCTCAGTTGTTTTGCAAGACCCACTAAACTTGAAGACACACAGAGTGCCGAAAACCAATGCCGAAATCAGCGTTGGTGAGCAACGGTAAAGGATAATAATCTTGCGCCCAAGAAGAGGGTGACGAGCAACGAGCAATCCAGCTTTTTTTTTCTGTCTCCACCGAACGCTGACTGACGTTGAGTAGATTCAGAAGGCTCGGTATTTCACCGGTAGGCCAAATCTTGTTGGTGGCACTGTACTACTGTAGGCCGTGAAATACAACAATTTCGCCAACTCGTGCAAAATTGCTGACGGGCCGAGTCGAAGGTAGGTCAAAAGGAGGCCCGTCGCTGATTATTGCAGCAAGTTCGCTCGTATATTGTCTACTCGTACGCGAACGAACGGAAAATGGATGGCAAATACCGTGAGCGAAAGGATGGCAAACCCGTGATAACCAGCACGTTCTCCGGCAGCAGTTGCATTTTTCAATAAAAAAGCGCATCCAAGCCATCAATATGCCGTAGCGGTCCACGAAACTCTGATCCATTTGGTGAAGCCTACATAGAAGGCGTAACACGCTCGGAATTGAATTGAAGTGCACAAGGAAATTGATCTGTTCACACAATTCTGCTTTGACATGCACACGTACGTACATACACCAGTGTAGGGCGGCGGGGCCCGAATCCTCGCGAATCCTAAGGCAAATAAATGAGAGTACATACAGCCAGTAGGAGCTGGGTGTGTACAATGAACGCAGATCACAGAACGTACAAAACAAAGAGAGGAGGAGCGGGGCGAGAGCAACGTGCGATGGGAAGGAGGGACTCCTAGTATCATGGCGAACCTGTTGCTGTACAAGTACACAAACACTCAAGTTCTGTCGTTCTGTTCTACCCATCGCAACGAGGGCCTATTTTGAATAAGCTTTTCACCCGCATCATTGTCCGTATGTAACATGCAACTCAGAACAAGAAAAAAATGATGCCGAAAAATAATGTGTCGGAAAAAAGAAAAAATAACGGAGAACGGCAGAAAAAAACGTGTTGCGCCGACAGCGGCGGCTGCGGACCAGGCAGCCAGCTCCTTCATGTTTGGCACCGCGCACGTCCTCCTACACCTCTACACACACACACTTTGTTTTGGATCAGCCGGCACTGGGATCTAGGCGGGGTGTGTCTTGCGAAGAAGATCCCGTATGGGACTTGAGAGGTGCAGTGGGAACGGCCGGTGTGGCAGTCAGCGGCTTCTCATCGGCTGCGACAGTTGCTCCGACATCTATCTCCGAACAACGGAGACTTCCCGCCCGTGAAATTTGGTGGGGTGTATATATAGGTGAGTGTCATGCGCATCCCGGACGTATCTCATATCATGCGTGCGCCTTTGTGTTGTACAGATGAGTTAAGGCAACCGCAGCGGTGGACATCATGGATAGGTGAATGTTTTCTAGATGCTTCCTTCTGTTCCCGTCCTTCACCGCGCGATTACTTGTACGACACATATCGACATGGTTTCAGAGTTCTCCCTGCGGAAAGAACGTTGGTGCAGCAGTTTGCATGCACGATACACTATTTGCCCACCATACTTGGAACGACACGCCTCGCTCTAGCACGATGCCATCACGTTGTTACGCCTGCCACGTAGCATACAACAAGGCAAGCCGATGCTCTCTTCACCAATCAATTTGCACTCTTTTGTACAACGGCATGGTTCATAAACTCTCAGTCAGGCACGTAAATATCAACCGACCCACCAGCACTGCGTGACCGAGGGGTCATCAGAAAAAGCAAGTAATTATTACACTGCATACTTTGTTGCAATTTTGTTGGTTTTCTTGATTTCAAAATGAGCGTGTTCAGCAATTGTACTATGTAGATTTAAATATCATGTAGATCAGATAGATTCAACTTGCGATCATCCGGCCAAGCTGTCAAACAATACTGCGCCTGTTCCCTGTGAAGGCCACATATATATATTTTTCAACACACGACATGACGGAGGGCATCTCCTCGATAATTTTGTCGATAATTTTGTCCGTTGACCTTGGTCGAGAGCACTATGTACAGGAAATGTAGACCAAAATGCATCCACAATGTACAGATGCTTTCGCTCTAGCGCCAGCTGTTTTCACTGTACAATTCAGTGTGTTGTAGTATATTGGCTATTAGAGGCTTGAGCACACTCATAAGATGCCCAGTTTCCAGCCGGCTTCCCTCCAATCACTGAAAAGACTTCAGCACATACATCCCTTTCGACTGTGATTACATCTCGAACGGCTCCGACTGTGAGGTTATGAATACTTTCCTGTGAGGTTTGGCGGAGCGACATATCGAATCACACTATCGAAGGTAGACAGCAGTCGATGAAGGCACCAACAGTAGCTATCAATAGTCATTCACGCGTAGTATAACGCAGGGATTCGACCTTATATTATGCTACAGGTTTCAGCCATGGCGACAACCACAGGGCCGAGCAATTCTGCGACGACAATGCAAAAGGAAGTACGGAGACAAAAGTGGGCTCTCTTCCTCTTTGGTAATTTACTGACGATTGGCAGCGTCATCTACGAGTTGAAGTCCCTCGACCTGTGTTTCGTAGAGGGCGAAACCTACCGCAATTCCATCGGTTTCGCGGAGGCTGGCGACACTAGTGATGTTGAACGCTTCGTGGTTGGAGCCCTGTGGTTGGGAGTCGTGTACGAGATGTTATCCGCACTTGTGCTGTCCACAATATACTCGTCTCCGCTTGACGCAAAGTCCGCTCACAAAGTCCCTCCGAACGATAACCGTGGTCATTGCGCAAGGTTGTTTTTACGGTTTCTTACGCCGTGTACGTGGGGGGTTCTGCTCATCTTGGTCGGGATGGCTAGCTTCAGATTTGCTACTTTTCGGTCTTGCGACACCAATGGTGGAACTTGGTTGACAGACTATCTTGTCGTGTCTGGAATTGGCATGTTATTGTTTGGTTTCGTTTTCCTCATTTTTTTCATGGCAATTTTCCTTCCCATCTTCGCCTGTTGCTGTGCGTGTGTCAGAATCTTAAGCAACAAGCTGTTGAAAACGTTTCCCTACATCGAGTTATTTTGGCAGTTGCAAAATGTCGTTTTCGGCTATCGCTCAGGCGCTTTCAATCTGTATGTTGCGGTGGCGCTTGGCATCGTGGAGGTGATCGGAGCGGTGTTCAGTGAGCGCGGGAGTTGCCTGTTGCCGCCTCCTGCGAGGGTTCTCGCTCAAGCAGTAGAAGTATGATCGTCAGCCAATGGCTACGAAATTGGATATTACCGTAGTTTGCGTTTCGCTTGGTTCCTGGACCAAGAACAGCACGGGCGCAACCGAGTGATATGGGCTCTGCACTTGCAGACGTGTCGCTGGGCGAGACATGGTATATAGTCTTCGGACCGCCAGCCCCTTGGCAGGAGTAAGGGTGTCTCTCGGCATCCACCTCATTGGGTAGCATAAGGAGAGATTCTACATCATTGATTCGTAGGAAGTGGAATTTTTTGGGAAAAAAAAAAGAAACGCCACACATGAAAGATGTCAGCCAAGGGCTACAGCGCAATGGTTCTGAGAAGCGCCCGGGTTGCTCCAGACAACCCCATGCCATGTTAAGAACACATGCGTCCTCCCGACGTTTACCGGCTCAAGTCCAAGCGTGCAATTGAAGCGACAGGAGACCGACAAAGCCTAAAGTCATCCAGTTGCAAGGATCGCCAAAAGTAGGTGTCAGTCGCTTTTCTCGTGAGCACCATAGAGAAAGAAATCACTGCCTGCCTGCTTGCAGAGCGAGTCTACGAACTCCCTATCAAACTTCCCGTACAAGTCATCCAAGCGACCTCCAGCAATACCAACATTCTCTGGTTCATCTTCCACAATCTGGTCTGTCCCCTCTGTTGCGTCGGTGATGATGAGGTTCTGGTCACTTTTGGTGCCTTCTCCTCCGGTAGTTCGAGAGTGATCTGCTCTGCCAACTATCAGGGCGGATACCGGGGGCGCTTCGCTTAGGGAGACCACCTGCGTGCAGTTTGAGGGCCCCACGCGAGAACAAATGCGCTCAATAAGCAACGGTGTTTGCGAGTCATGGGCATTTGCTGTTTTCATTTCTGCAAAAACCGCCAGATTTCTCGACGACGCGACGAAAGGATAAAGTCTGTGGGTGTTCTGCTTGGTATCCAAGTATCTCGGGTCCATTTGCGCCCTATACAGTGGTGCTAGCCCTGACCCAAGCCCCAAAGTTAGACACTTGTGGTGTTTGCGGAAGTTACAGCATCCCAAAAGACTCACATGTCCCAACCTGCAGAAATAGTAGTCACCAATGCCCACGAGTGCTTTGTGCAAAATGCGAGGGATATCTTCTTGACAACCCTCTTAGTAGTGGCGGAACGATGACGGAAAAATCATGTATCCAGAAAACGTGCCCACAACGATGCCAAGGTGTAAAGTGCTGACTTCATCGTACTGGCAGAACGAGACGTGGCCCCAATCCATTATCTCCCCACGTTAAGCACCTGCGCTCAGGCCATCCTATCACTTACTTTTTTGTTCAGACTTAGGAAGATGAACATATTATTGAGTCTGGAGCTCTTTCCTCCCAGCAGGTCGCGTACTGTTCAATGTCTCAAGGAATGATTGCATGGTGACCGCCCTCGCGGCCCCAGTGAAACTGTCATGTTTCTTCTCTTCTTGACGGGGAAATACTCACCTGAGCGAGGGCCGTTCGCAATATCCAGTTGAACCGGAGACCGGCAGCTTTGCAAGCATGCGTGCACGTGAGGACCCCCTTGTGGGGCAACCCCTCTTCTGTGTTCCATAGAACCGGCAACATCCATCCCGGGATGGGGGTGTCGTACCTGCGACATGTCGTGTTAGCCACGAAAACAATGTGACTTGATGTTGGCCTGCCGTATTCACCTGCCACCACCTCTTGGCAGAGCGTAGAGCTTTTCCCACCAACCTCGAGCAGCTTTGCCCCTCTGTTTATATATCATCGCAAGAGACGTTAGGTGCCGTAACGTGCAAAACTGCTACAGTAACCGTAGCCCAAACCCTAACCCTCGGTTTCCAAGGCATGCCCTCGCATCCTTGCCGGACGAGGTCGGGTGTCCTTGACATGCATGTATACAACAAATACGGCCTCTGTTGATGCTCACATTGACCACCGAAATGACGATGATGGCCAGAGCTCGCCTTGCTGATCGAACACCAGGTGTATCAGCATCTACGTCCAAAACGAGGCAGCAAGGGGTGGGTGCGACCGTATCAAAAGCAACGTTCTGGAAATAAATGATGCGTGGCATTATGCGAAATCTTACGATGTTAAGGACATTCCAAGTGAAAAGGCTTTGACGCTGGCACTAGAAGTTTGGCAGGGAAAGGAACCAAACCCGCGTGTATCTAGCCCCGGATTGGGCGGGAGTTGAACAGGGCGTGCATGCATGCAAATAGTCGGCCGAAGCAATATAGAAATAACCATTCAAAACTAGTCGAAAACGCTTTCGCTGCTTTTTAGGCTTCACCTCATCTAGCTTGGTTCCGCGACATCACAAGGAAATGCACAATCTGAAATGGTCCCGATTTTGCAGTTGTTCGGAAGCATTGTACATAATCTATCTCGAGAACCCCGTCGTTTCTCTGACGCCGCTGCAAGGGTTGTGCTGTACCTAACAATAATATCACCAACATTATTTAGCGGAATGCCTGCTACTTTTCCCAAGTTCAAAAATGCATACCGCCCTGTCATTTGAACATGGGGGCTGGCACGGCCCCTTTGGTCGCCAGAGGTTGTGCCCGAGACACAATATTGAAGTACACTTGCGTCGTTTCATGGCATCTCGTTGAGTGTAAGAGTCTAGACATGCACCGCTACAAACCCAACGGGCTTTCTTCAGCGTCTCTCCGTCGACCGTTAGTGACACCTGCTCAAGGGTTTTCTGTATGCCAACGCTCGACGCGAGGATCTGCTTCAAGCCTAACTGTTTTGATATGTCCTTCGTTGGAAAATGTAATCCAGAGGCCACCGGTGTCCCCTTTTCACAAATCCAGGGAAGTCTCGACCATGACGATGTGTTGCCCCTCTCCACAACAATAATAGAGGGATATACGTCCGAGTAGCGCTGCAAACCAAGGACTGGACGCTTGGGGCCCAGTGGCCTAGGTGAAGGCATCCACCAAGCAATATTCGCTAGGGAACGGGGAACATGTTGGTTGTAAGACACGGTAGAAAAGTATTGTACTCATTTGAACAGAAGAGCACACCCCTCCAACCAATCCCACCTTCGCCACCTGACGCTCCTCCCGTATATCTAGCGAGAGCTCCATATATCCTTCAGGCCGACATGGATTCCAGGCTGCCAACCAACCCACCCGCTTAATAACAAAGGCTTGCGCAAGGTCTTCCAGACAACCAACAAGGGTCATGTAGTCGTACACGTCGACCTGTACAATGGACAATGTGACGGAACGTCGCTTGCTGGTCAAGCTACAGAGCACCTCTTGCCATCTACTTCTGAGATTTCAGTACTTAGATTCCTCCATCATCACCTTGTACTACCGAGTGTATTAGACAGGAAAACTCGGCTACAACATGATCCCGTTGGATCATGAAGTCGTGCGAAATGCCGATTTGTTTGAGCACATACGTGCCTGCAGCAATTTGTGGCACATTGAAATAACTGATACTCGCATTTTTGCGTCCTCCTTGGGGTCTCATCGTATGTGCTACACAACTGTGGCGTGCTCTTCCGAACCAAATTGATCATTCACCCCCCCAGTCTCATTTCTTCAATAATGCTGACATGTCATTGAAAAAAAAAACACAACGACTCCCGCTCTATCCGGTGGGTCGGTGCGAGGTTGCACTGTTATGCTTGTACAGCCGATGAGGGCGTTGGTACCAAAGATTCACGTAAATTGTGATGTCCGAACGACACAGGCCGTAACTCCGTTTTGGGGCAAAGAATGGCGATGTGCCTCTCGCGATTCTCACAATGCGCGGGTAGACCGAGACGACGAAGTCGACGAGAACGTCCTGAAGGAAGTCGTCTCCTTCGTAGGCTTCTTTCACCGCCAGCAGTACGAACCGGCACTGCTTGACGAAGCGACAAAACATGCCAGGACGCAGACAATGAGTACAGATGAAGTGTTCGAGAGTCTGTAAGGTCCGACTTCGTTTCATGCTCGTTGTTTGGGTTATAACCTGACGCAACAAAAAGGAACATGTTTTCCGCTCGACTCCGTTCCGAATACTCTCACGGCGGAGAGGAGCAGACGATCGAGGACAACACGGCTTTGACTAAGCGATGCACACAGGTGCGAAACTGCCACAAAAGAACGCAAGACGATCACAGAAGTGATTCTAAACAGTAGGCACAAACCTGATCGATGGAAAACCACTTGTCCGCCATCAGCTCGTCCAGTCGGCAAGCCATAGTGTTGATTCCGATGGTTGCCTGAAGATCCATGCCCGTCAAGGACGGGCCTGTTGACGATCTCGACGAATTCGATTTGGTCCCTGTTGCGTTACGCCCCTTCCCTGTAAGCGTTCAAGAAGGGAAGGAAGCAAGAACGCCAAGGGCACAATGAGAATCGAGTTTCTACTTGTAGAGACCAGCTTTGATATTTCTTCAACCAACGATTCTTTGGGATGTTCGTAGCGATCACTACAGGCTGTCTCGGGGTCCTCGGCAGGGTCATCGTCACTCCACGTGCAGCTTTTGGGCATCCGTAAACCGGTTGTTTGCCCACGATGTAGTCGTCGTGTGCGCCGACGGTGAAAAGTAAGCGAGTGTGCCAGCACCCTATATTTTCTTGGCCGACTTCAACAAGGTGTGGAATCACAAAATCACCAACATGCCACATTGTGTGGGGTTCAATCGTTTTTGTCCGTGAGCACGACGAAAATCGGAAATACTGTTGTACGACACCTAAAATAGCGACGGGTGGCGGCCAAGCACCGTACATCACAGCAATCCTAGCGGATACATTGAAGGGAATCACAAATGCCTGGCCATGGCAGTGCATCATGCATGACGCGAGGCGCGTGCTTGGTGCGGTGTACCCAACACGTACACCCAACATGTACAAGGAAACTCCTCTACCTCAGGCGAAAAGCGTACCCGTGCGCGAGATGACTCTCTCGTTCAGCCCATCGTGATGCGCTTGTGTAGAGTCTCTTGTTGGAGATACGGTGGATATCCGTCTTAAGGGTACAATAGATTCCGGTCGTGGCGGCAGTATAGATTGCCGTCTTGCTGGCGCTGGCAATACAGATTGCCGTCTTGTTGGCAGGACCTGCCGTACACAATTACACCGGTCGAACGTAAAGAGCTACTGCTGCAGGCACGCAGAGAATTCTCGAATAGTCACGAGCCCCGAAGACCTTGTAAACGTCAAAACCAGTGCCAACATCCACACGGACGTGCACAATCAAAACACTTGACCTTTTCGGGTCTTATCCCCTGCACTCAAAGATCGTCGAATTCTTCGTTCGTGGTTCACAGAAAACACCATTTCACGATGACACAACTCGTTTCCAAGACAATTATCGTGAGGGCTTCTGCACGTGGTGTATATATTCTCACCATGCATCCTCAATTTTGTTTGACTGCCAAGCGAGCAATAATCATGTCAACACCGAACCCCAAATAACGTGCAGGACCCATTGTGTGCACGTCGAAAACCCCACCCAGGCACGTTGACGCTCGTCGAAACCCCCCACCTTCTCTTCGGGATAGACCACAAACGTAGGGTTAGGGATAGGGTTGATCGTGGAGCTCCAGCCTCATTTTGGACTTAGTCGAACATTCATTGGATTCTGACCTGTTTAGAGACCGCCCCGTTCGCTATTTTGTCCACAGCACTTGGCCTAGTTGGGATGGTCTTGTTTCCCATCGGCTGGCCTTCGCCGGTCATGAGGAAGTGCAGGTATTCGAACATCTTTCGAGTTCGCGGGCGGGGCGGCGACTGGCAAGGGCGGCGAAAAACAAATTTGCAAAGTTCCGAAGCGCCAGTCAACTTCACCCGGATGTTCGTACATTTGACAGAGCAGGCGAGAGGTACGGAGGCCACGGAGGGGTACTGCTCTTTGTTGAAAATGGCACGCACACATGTGCATCCGGAACAACATCGCCCACAAGACAAGCGCTCTTCCTCCACGACAGCGTTGCCAATCGGCTTGAAGGAATATTACCGCTCCTACCACCTGCGTGATCAAAGTTGCTCTACTTGGAATACGCTTCGTCTAATTTGGCGTGAAAATACACACGTTTCGTACTGCCTCATCAATCACGTGGCCCCGTTCAACGGGAACAGAGGCCTTTTCGTCGCCAGCGTCTGGTGATCCTTCGGCATCCACGACATCGGCCGCATCTCCACCAGTCCAAGCTTCCTCATCGCCTAGTCCAACCTTCTTCAGCATGTAGCAGAACGTCGTTGTACTCATGCAATGTGTTCTTCCGGCCAGCGCGCCTTGATCGCTCCTAAAGGGTGGACGCGATGTTGACACATAGTCGATCTCCAGAGTGCCCGCCTGGCTCCGATGTATTTTGGGTCCGCCAAACGAATTCAATGGTTGCCAAGGTTGGGGTCGGGTCGAACGGTGACGTTGTGTAGGCTTTGGACGACTGAGGTCGTCAAGATCGATCCACCCAGACTATTGCACGGAGATCCACCCACATCGTTTTACCCATTGTTTTTTTTTCCGTGGGTGAACGTGTTGGGATGGACTTGAACTGCACCAACAACGATATTTATCGTCCCTGTCTGGGTCCCGAAATCTGCACCGGCGTCGCGTTACGAACAATAATGCAATGGTTCTACGCTTCACAAACCAAAGCCACGCAAGATAGAAGCACCTCCGACAAACGTTAAAACTTTGGAAAAAAAAAAATAATAACCAGTGAACGCTTCACGGCCCATGCCACGGGAGTATTGAGCAACGCCAACGACGGGGTAGCGCCTGTGGCCAGCGCTGCCCGAACAGTATGGGTGGTAATAACGTAGGGAAACGAACGATCGGCTACCATAAAACCGAGGCAAACATTGATGGTTAACACTGGAGTGCACTAGGTCTGTCGCACGCTTGCTTGCGGTGTACGACACTCAAGCTGTGGCAACACATCTCGCTGCTGCTAATGTTGTGAGTTACTGCGAACAGCACTGTTGAAAGCTTTCCCACATGGCATGAATCGCGCGCACCTGGGGCAGTGCGTCCAAAATGGTACCCTTCAAGCGGTAAGGCTTGCCGTTCACGGTTTCATTCCGAGTATTGTTCCAGTTCCCCTTCTGAGATGCGTCAAACACCGACAGATGCCCAGTCTGACGCGCTAGCTTTTCCATATTGTTGCATTCTAAGATCTGAATCGCGTGCGCACACGCACGCACACAAACGGGGAAGCGCGGGGGCAAAAAGCTCGAGGAACAGGGCTATCGTTTCAGGTTCGGTAGCACCAGCTTCGGGGCTTACGACTGGTCACCCCATCCAAGTGACGAGCTTGAACGATACGCGGACGTGGGATAAATATTCTGGTGAAGAGCTTAACGTAGACTGTACATTTTCTTTCGGATTGGTTGAAAAGTACCGTTTTTGGTCACAGCAGAAGGAGAGAGAGAGAGAGAGAGAGAGAGAGAGAGAGAGAGAGGTCCACGTTGGTCGGGAACGCAGCACGCCAACCCTTCGACTGCGCTGCACCACGTGGTCAAGTACTCTTCTATTAGGCGGCGCCCAATGGACTTCTTCGTCATCGTCTATTTCGCGGCAAAACCGGAACGCTCGCTCAATATTTCGACATGCATCCTCCACCACGGACGCATGGCATGCTATATTTTACCCGTCCGTCTTGAGTCTTGGCTGAGTGTGCCAATAGTTTTGTGCCGTGCCCTGCAGTTATTCAGCCGAATAGTAATAATTCCTGCGGCAATGACGTGTTGACCCCGTCTGTCTGGCTGCCTGGTAATTCTTGCTGTTACTCATGCACCCTGACCGCGTGAGAAACAAGTTACGGTACCTTCCGAGCAGCAAGCTGGTGCATCGGCTTGCTCAGGTCCAGTTCGTAGTGCCCCATCGGGGTCCCCATGAGTGGCCGGTAAGCCGGGCCAAGCTCGTGCCTCAGCCTGCGCCTTTCGTCCAGGTCCCTTTGGAAACGAAAGAGGTGACCGCATGTGTTCGCAGACGAGTGAGCTGGTCGTGGTCTCGACGCAACAGCACTCGGTGGATGCCTCGGAGCCAACAGCTATCTGTGGCAAACAACGTCGGCAATCTTCAAATGTGCTTCCGACCTATTCTTCACTGTTCCCCGCGTAGTATATACGTACATATTTTCTCAGCAGGATGCCTTTGGTCCAAGTTCGGACGGGACGAACGCAGCATCGCAAGCTGTCTTGCGTCGGCCACCGAGTGGATGGTGGATGTAAAGTAAGCACTGAGGCTGGTACCTTGCGCAGCGACGCATGGCGTCTGGTCGGCACAGCACCGCACAATTGCAGGCCGCTGAAAGCAACGTGTTATGTGCTTAATGATGGCATTCACCCCGGTTACGACCGAGTTTTCCCGCATGGCTTCTCGACAATGGGTGTTATAGATAACAGTCAAGAGCCTCCCAAGGCGGGATCTCGTTGGCGACATACCGCGTTGCGACTACGACTCCTTCGGCGCACAAGTACGCTACAGCCGCTCTTTCGGTTCTCCTCCAAGACGGTGCAGTTCAATGGAATCCCCTAACGCAACCATGGGGTAGATAGATAGAACGAGAGAGAAAGAGAGAGAAAGAGAGAGGCAGACAGACAGACAGACAAAAAGAGACAAAGACAGAGACAGGGACAGAGAGGAGAATAGCTCACACCAGCACACAGCATCACCTGAGAACGGTAGTCTTGAGCATACGAGCGTCACTTGGCGACTCCATTCTCGGGATGACCTTGGCCAGGGCTTTGAACTTGTCTCCCCCCACGTGCTGACTCGTGCAATAACGGAAAGGTGACAATTGTGCAGGTGCCATTACAATGCCATTACGTTGTGTGTCACACCCGAACCCTTCCCGCCGCTGTTGCCTGATTGACGAAGGAAAGAAACGCTGATGGCAACGCAAACGTTGACAACATCGTAGCGTTTCCGTCGAAATGTGGAGGGCTCGGCTTACATAATACTCTGCTCAAGAGGAAGACTTTTTCGCTCATATGGTTAGACCCTTCTCAAACGCACGGCAGCGTCGATGAGAAAGACTTGGTCTTGCGTGAAATACGGAATACGTTTACACCCGTTAGAGCCTCCTTCGAAACACACAGATGCATGTTAATGGCACTACCCCTCGGTGTTCAAAGTTCCCCTGTGCATAACGTACAAAGCTTTTCCCGTGAAGGCTGAACACAATTCCAAATATTTTGTCGTCCATTTACTACCTCTGACGAGTTCCTCTACGTTCAGACAAAGAAGACATTTGTATCGGGACACGCTCAGTCCTTCCCCCTGGGCATCTGCAAAATTACAGCATGGTACAATCCGTCTGCTGTAACCGTAAAGGTTTGTTTCACACTTCGATCTGATCTTCATTTGTTTTCTCTCACAGAAACCAAAACAGCCACCTTCAATTTCGAGACTTACCGCGCAGACGGTCCTGTACATCCTCATTCCCTGGTGTATACTGAGAGAAACGAAATTGAGAGCGTGCGCCATCACGTCTGCGAGGCCGTCGCCAATCCCGGACAGCATCGCCAACAAGCCGTCCGTGCTCTCCAACGACGTGAGATATCCCTGGGAGAGTGAGCGAGAGAGCCACATGAAAACAACGAGAGAGGGAACAGATGGACAGAGGGCTGGGGGCGGGGGGGGGGACGTCAAGAAGGGGAGGTTGGCGCACGATATTGGTGCATAGGCTATACGATAAATATCAACATCTTGTGTCACAAAGCGTAGCGAAATACGCGACAAATCAACACAACATCAACCTCAAAATGCCAGCGACAACAACAGCAATATCTGCGCGTGCTCTGTACCTGGTTGTGAAGGCGCTGGTACTCAAACTCAAGCCGCAACTGACCCTCCGGAGGGACTATCCACGGCTTGGTCAGGTTAGATTCTTCCGCCAGAAACGCCTGTTACAGCGGAGAGCGAGTTTCCGGCCAAGGCAAAGGAATCGCACGTTGGATGTGAGTCGCGCGTTGTTCGAAAACACTCTTTAGTGCACCGTGCAGGCACGCAGAGTAACGCGGGCATCGATGCCACGACGCCCTGAACCCGTGGCTTTCGTGACCACCGATGTTGACGACACTCGACGCCTTCTGGGACACCCTTTACTGTTTTCTGGGCCTGGACAACCGCGGGCTTACAAACCAAAGCCTGCGCAACATGCAGCTCCCGTCGACAAGTCGATAAACAGCGCCTGTACTCAAACCTTGCTTCTGCCCTCCCCCCTCTTGGACTGCAATATGCTCTCCTCGATGAATTCGTGGAATGCGGACTCGTCGATTCGCCCGCTGCCGTCGTCGTGCCTCGTCATGCACATGTCCACCTGGTTAGATTTCCGAGCAATGAGTGCTATAGATATCTGTCATACGTCTTTTTCATACGCGATCCTGTATCGAAATGTGGCCAATCCAATCGGAAGCAAGCCTTTACACAGTTCTAGTCTTGCTTGAGGCAAAGGGCAGGCCACGGTCTTCAGATGAGGCTCAACACGTGGAAGTTCACGGAACCAACTGACAGTTGTCTGCCTAAGCATTCACGCAACGCGGATCGTTTGCGATGGCCTCAGCTGCTGAGAAAATGGCCGAGGGTGGTTTGACCAGCAATGAGGCGTAAAGACGTGCCAGCGTGAGCGTTACATCGTGGTGAATTTTTCGCTTTCGTTGAAGGCTTGCCCTAACCTGCTCCTCGCCACCCAAGCCCAATTCTTCCAAAGCCTTTCCCAGCTCCTCGCTGCCAAAATAGTCGCCAATAGCGGCCGGGTGCGCCGGTGGGAGAGCGCGGACCATTAAAGAGGTTTCAGTGCACGCACGGACGGAGGTGGCGGTACACGCGTAGATTCTTTACCAACAAACGTCGTGTATGGCTTGGCTTGTGTGGATACGATAGGGACCCGCTTCGCACAGCTGGCACCAAAACCAGCTACCGAGCTCTGACGTTGGTCTCTCTGCGCCGGCTGCTGACGGTCTATCCGCACCTTTCCAAGCTACCAGTGGCGCATTCGTCGTACTTCCTGAAGATTGCTTGCCGCGTAGACTTGTCTGCGAAGTCCCTGCACGCCGAGAGGAAGCGTATGTGTTTAGCCGGTCGGAGAAAAAACTATATTCTTGATCAACGTGTCAGGGTTGTGTTGGTTGGAAGATGATAAGGCGATTCCGGCTCGAACTGGCCGAGAGGCAGCAGCGACGTGTCTGATAAAAAGTCTTGTTCATGGGCACTCTTACAGTACCCGCAGAGGACCTCGGTACAGGACCAGGACCAGGCGCAGCACGTAACAATCCAAGGACAATCTGCTGAAGATAGAAAACAAAGTCGGCATCCTCCCTTTGTCTGAACCTTTGAGGATGTTTCGTACATGCGGCGTTTTGCCAACCCCATGTTGGGAATCTCCTTAGTAGGTGTCGCATATGGGTAGCGACAGTAATACCAGGTCGAGCATACAATTTGGTCTGCTGATATTGCCATTTTTGGCGAGGTCTCCGGCTATGGGGAGTAATCGCCTCTAAGATTCACCAGAAAACCTAAAGGTGCTGAGTCGATCCACTGCGTGGGTATTGTTATCGCGGTGTCTTGCCTGCTAGTCATGCCGGTGCCCGTGACAAGGTGTATCTCCTTTTCAGCCTCGCCAGCCATCGTGTGTGCAACCATCTTCAACTGCAGAAGCGGAGCATCGCCAAAGGGTCGCCGCGACCGGGAATCACAGGGTCAGGAGAGGAAGTTCAATTTTCATTTGGCACCTCGGCACGAGAATCGTGATCGCGTTGCAAAGTCTGGGGCTTACGACGCGATCGTACATGCGGTACACTCGCTGGGAACACCTCGCGGTTTGGTCAATCACCTTGAGCCCTTCGTCTCTTGCTGCACGTCGAACGAGATGGAAAGCCACAGCCCGGTCGTACGGTTCGTCCATCCGAAGATGATACGACGGGCGTATCTGAAACAGAACAGCACCGTTCAAGGTGGGAAGGGGTCAACCTACCACCTTGAGACTCGTCGCTCACCAAACGCTGCGCTATGTGCATACAAATGGCTTGATCAATCAAAACCCTTTTGTTTAGCATGCGGCTCTGCGATGTACACGTACCGCTCTGCGGGGGGGCGCTATCAGCTTCTGTTCGCTGCTGAACTGCAGCCAAACGCTGCAATTTTGGTTTCGTCTCTCTCGAAAACCACAATACAACAAGTCAAGCATCCGAAATTTGTGGCATCAAAGAACGCCTTGGAACACCTCGCCCGTGAAGAGGTATGCGACAAGCCGCTAGTACAGGTATAATTGACATTCTTCATTTGTGAACCTGACTTGAGCTCACCTGCTCATCGTCAAACCAACATTCCTCGCAGTCCACCATGAAGTTGCAACTGGCCAGTTCCGTGTTAATTCTGTCCCCAACCTCCGCGGGAAGTTCCATCACGCATCTGTGCCAGTTGGAAACCAAAGCAAGATGTCTACGCGACAAAGTGCTTTGTGTGGAATTTGCCAAGTGACCCTTGCAGGCTGTTCTTTGTACAGTGCTACATGCCCGCCTGCAGCATGAAGGTCCGTCATGTTTCCTTCACGCCAGCGTTGTGTGAGGGACCTCTTTCCAGTTCATGGACGAACTGATCGTCGACGCCCTTGTAAACTACCGCGTCATTGGGTTGTGTACAGCCGGCGCGCTCGGCATCAAGCCCGGTGGTGGTGCCTCAGCAATCATCAATGGTCTTTTGTCGTATCTGAAACCAATTTCAGGTATGGCTTCGCTTCCTTCTGCCCACGTATCAGCGACCCGTGAACAGAAACTCAGCAGTAGAGCCACCGAAGGTACAGGAGGGGAGGCTTGAAGTTCGTCAGGAAGGAATCATTGTGTCGATCAAACGGCATGCCATCTATGGTCGTGACTCAATGACGGCAATGTGCTGTCACCCACTCTCGAGGCTCTGTGAGCCTCGCCCTCAGCACTGGAGTGGTGCCATCTTTGTCACACGCCGGTAAAGATACGAGGATGGACTCACCCAACTCCAACTTTGCCCAAAGGGTTGTTTGAGAGGTCGATGTCGCGGGTGACAGAGTTTTGCATCAGTCCTTGGCAGATGACGAAGCACGCTCGCGGATTGATAGCGTTGCTGGCCAGCCTGAGCGTCTAACGTCGTTGATGTACAAGAGGGTAAAATATGGGGTGACATGAACGGCGGCTGGTTCAAGAATGCAGTTCGGCATGGGTACCATGAATAATATTTCACTTTCCGAATGCGGTACGGTGGAAAAGTTGTCTTAGGCGTGACAGTATATGTAGCGGCTTCAACAACGTCCATGTGTATCCTGCACGGATCGAAATATATCGCTACGGCGCTACCTTACCTAGTGCACATTTCATCGTAAAACAGGGGAAAAGGGTGAGGAAATGAAGATGAAGCCAAAAACAATGGCATTGCTGTGTCGAGTGTGAAGAACAAAGCAACGATAATCATGAGGTTGGTCTGGATCGTGTTCCTGCCGACATGTCCCTGGCAAACAGATACTAGACTATCATACCGGGCAATGAGACTTCCACTACTGAAATTCATTGCACGCTTCAACCGTAAAACTGTTTCCAAGTTCCGTCACCGCACTATGTAGGACATCTGGGAAGGGTAGAGGACAATCTGGGAAGGGTCACCTTCAGGCTGGTGTTGAGGTGCAAACTAGCCCCTATTGCCTCCCCGCCCTTGGCCCCGAAGCAGTTGAAGCTCAAGTCTAGCGTCTCCAGGTCGGTAGCGTCTGGCAACGGGACAAGGTTAGGCATTGCGCAGCGTTGACGGCAAAAATGGTGCTGTCGGTACCGTGAACGGCCAGGCATAAGAATTCTACAAGAACTTAAGGAGAAGCACCTTGCAAGCTCTTCGTGCCTGTCACGCGAGAACGTGAAGAACGGAACGGTGCGAATGGGAGTTAATACGAGCGACAGTCGAAGGTGTAGCGGACGATGAGATACGACATGATGGCTCGTCGATATTGAAGCACAGGCATGAGATGCAACGTAGATATACATGTGTACGGCGTATGCAATGAACCGGAACCGAGACATATTCGTGTTCTTGGTTAAAAACGGGCCAGGAGCTAGTACTTGTCGATTGACTTCCACAAGCGATTCATGTCGTTACGGCGGTGATGCCCTAACCATGGTCGAAGCGTCTCACAGGCAACGGCATTGCCAAAATAGACAGCCGAGTCGAGCCTGATGGTGTTCCACGAAACATCAAGGTACTTGAGAGGGCAGCTTCCGGTCGACACCCAGTCGGCCAACGCCTCGGCCCCCGTGTAGAACTCTGGCCGGACGTAGTTGATGGATTCCTGCACGATATCGACGGGAACATGTCCGATCAACAGATAGACATTGATGTCACGAGGGTTCCCCTGCTGGGTGCTTTGCCGTCGAGACGCCCATTCACAAACACTGCTGCCGTCCTTCCACCATAGGCCTACCGGCGGTCGCACGCTCGGTTCTCGAAGAACTACTCTAGACGTGTGCGGTTCGGCTGGCTTTTGTTGGTCATGGGTTCGTTCTGTTGCTGTTGGTGGCGACCCTGATGCCTTCGCGTCAAACGTGGTGACCTCTGCATCGTGTGGTATCCACATCGCCCGCCGGGTTGGACCAAGCGGAAAGTCTCGTGGACGCACGCGATTCAAAGCGGAATGTGTATCAAAGAGGGCCTCGAACTCTCAAGCGCACATTCCTACTCGCGAACACAGAGGGTTGCCCAAGTGTTGTGCGTTGGCTTCCCGTGAGCGACGTTCACATGTACAACGGTTCGATGGCCGGCGCCTTACCTGACTGCCGATGAGGTTGTGGCTGAGATCGAGGTAGGTGAGTGTCTTGTTCGCCTTCATGTGTTTCACAAAGTTAGACGCCTAAGGGATCCGTGCGAAGTTGGGGGTGGGAAAGTATGTGATGCGGCTTACGGGATGCACTGTCTTCCTTGGGTGTTGGTAGGATGGATGACGAATGACGTCGAGGAAAACGTCGGACTACTTAGGGTTAAGGTTTTAGGCGTGCACAACGCCAACGGTAGCATCTTCGTTCAACTGGTCCGTCGCAACAATACCAATAGCAGCATCAGCATTAACAACAACAGCAGCAGACCAATACTTTCAACCGGTACATCAAATGCCAGCATACCTCGAAGTCATCGACGTCTGCTTTGCTGAGGATGAATTTGGCCAGGGTGCATCGGGAATCCGAGAAGTAAAACGCGAGCTCCCGCGCCGCCTGTATAGTGCCGGCCACCGTTCGATCCGGGATTCTCGTCACGATGAAATCAAGGGTATGGAGCATAACCCCTTGCATGGCCTAAGCACCATCCCCAACACACGCGCCATCAACGGTAGAGGCGTACCTTGAACTGTTGCGTGATGTCTTGCACTGTTCACTGGTTACCACCTCCAGAGGGCCGTGTGTCCAAGCCCATTGAGGAAGAGTGCCAACCGGACGCTATACCTCGCAAATCGTGGACTAAACAATGGCGATCCTTACACCGTGGAGGCGTACTGATCAATGAGCTGCACGCACCAGTATATCCTACCGTCACTACGCAAAACAAACTTCCGGACAGTTGTTTCCCCCCGAAACAACACAGGTGGTTTCTTATTCTACATTTCGTGGTGAAAAAACGGAGGTAACGACGACAAAACTTCTCTCACCCAGCGATCGAGCTTGTTCTCGCTCAGATCCAGCGCGTAGAGATCATGACGTTGTTTGATTGCCTGTCAGGAAATAGAGCGTTGGGATGCTGTGTGGCTCGTAAAACACTCAAACGCGACAGAAATTATCGTACGGACTACAGCTGTATGCGGGCCATTCACACGGTTACCTCAGCAGTATGTAAGGTGGGCCCTTTTGGCTCCTCCGTTGCCCTTCATTGGATACAAACAAACCAAAGTTTCCGCATATGTGTCGACAGAACTCGAAAGCGATGAGGGGGGCACTATAATTCGAACAATTGGGTTAGAAGAAAACACCATAGTCTGAGCGGAGGGTTGTTGCAAAGGCTTCAAACCTGGCACCCGCGCTCAAACCTGGCACCCGCGCTGTGTTAAATCACCGTAGTTTTCACCTTTACGAGAGGCCTGAGGCCTTTGTCTGTAAGCCTGTTGTCCCGGAGATTGAGCTCCCGCGTCAGCGGTAGTTCTACCAAGCAGTCCGCCAAAATTCCGCCCATCACGTCTCCCATGCCCTGATGCGCCAAGTTCACCTTGGGCAACAATCGCAACATGTGCGTCCGCAACGGCATGATAGACCAACGCGTTGTCTTTGAAGTTGAAGTCTACTCCGTGTGTGCCCTACTATCCTCCGCAGCACCAATCACTATATTATATTAGCAGGCAGTTCCCTGGGTTTCGTCTTTCGCTTATGATGCTCGGGTTGGCCTGTGATCACAAAATGTGGTATGGCTGCCTTGAGAAGCACCGAAGAGGTTTGGCGGTGGCGCCAGCACGGATACCGACGAGAACCGATAAAACCAAACCATCCCCAGATTCTCATAAAATGTCTATCCCCCCAGTCAAAATACAATTCTGGGCATTACACATAACGGCTTTGCCGTGACCAGGTGCTTTCAGACCCGGTGTTCTTGCGGAATCCCACGTCCTAAGAAACACGTCAACCATTTGAAGGAGGTAGAATTGTATTGGAGGATGTCGGTGATGATGTACCTTAGTGGTGTGCGTCTTTCGAATGATGACATGAGCTCTCGGGGCCACGTTTCGCTCCATGCAACGCACGAGATACTTCGTCCGGCTTGTAATCTGTAAGCGCAGGGAGGAATGGAAGAATAGGGATACGGACAAGAGGCAGCGGCGAGCGAAAGCTATGGATGCCATACCTACACGCCAAATATTGCGTCGTTGAAGGAAGGTGCTCTGTCGTAATCGTTTCCTCTGGACCCGCAACACGTCTGCAAACCACACCAGCAACGTTGTTTCGGGAAGGGAGAAGCAACTAAATCAACCCTCCTGTTTCCAACTATCCCTCACTTGGCGGTCGTTGTTCTCCAGAGCTTTCGACATTTTACGTTCATGTTCATCACCCTCGTCCACGCCCGACCCCTTGTCGCCTGACTCGCTCTGCCAACCAGCCGCAGCCGTTGTAGCCAACGGAGGTAGCTTATGAGGTGTAGTGGTCTCCGGCTTGGCACTATCTATATCTATGTTTGTTCGGGCGGCTTTCTCGTGCAAGGCTTGTTCCGTGTCTTCGATGTTGATTGCGTCAAGCCCGGCCTGGTAGGCAGGGAGTGCTCCCATGTGGTCCAAAGGGGTGAGAGGAATCATGGACATCGCTTGGAGATCTCCGTACTGGTGCCTCCGCCGCGATACTTGCTTGTAGTAGTTGTACACGTGCGTTCTCGCCTGCGGTTTCGCCATAGAAACGGATGGCGGTGCAAATCATGCTGACCATACTGCCTGCCTGCTTGCCTAACTGCGACGACAACAACGCCAAAAATATCCTCGTGGGTTCATTTGGTGGTTGTCTTCGCGAATCAGACGCTATTTTCGATGCAGCTTCCTTCCTCTGTGCTCATTCTACCTTAGAAGCCCATTGACCGAACCCAGATATTCTCTTCAGGACAACTCGTTTGATATCATTTCCTTCATCTGGTGGGAGGGACTGACATTAAGTCTTCGAACGAACCCAGTGCGGGCGCCACACGCTAGGCCAACAGGGAACCGTGTGCGAACCTGAAACGAAATCATAACGTTACGAAACTCACCCGTCGGCCGAAGTAGTTGGGGTGTACAAGGCCGAACTTGGCCACCGCGTCCTCCAAGCAAGTATCGCGAGTTATCAATCGCGATTCCTATTCGTTTGGACATTGTATTGGCAGGCATTGATGTAACGAGGGGGCGTTCGAGACGATCGAGCCGTTACTACGTTCGGTCCTGACAAAAGAGAGAAGCTTGTGAGGCAGCAAGATGTTTTCATTGACAACAGTGCACATGGGCAACCATGCGGTCAGGCGCCCGCCGATAGAAACTTGAACGTGGAGCCCTGTCCCGCGGAAGTGGTGAATGGAGCCCAGAAAAATGCCTTCGGGTTGTTGTTCGCCTGTTTTGTATTAACAACCTATACACACAAATCAACACCTGAATAGAGCACATGGTACCCATGGTCAACTTCTATGGACAAAATCGTCACGCGCGTCGTGCCCATATCATATGCTGAACCACCTCGACCAGCAGCTGGCCTAACACAGTGTCCATCATGGCGTGTGTCGACCGACCGTACTGTACTCACATCACCCGGTCCGGACCGCTTCTCGTTGTCTGTGTCGCCATCCGCAGATCTGTGTGATTGTAGCGTGCGAGAGCCGTCAGCACAACAGCACTATTCATTGCCAACTAGACACAGCTTTCCTGCTGAACGAAGCAGGCCGGCGAGCCGCTATTTGACGTTTGACTCAAGCGAAAACAACGCCATACACTCACCATTGCTGCGGTTTGCTTGTGTTGAATATCTGTTGTACGCGTCAAATATTCGCACGATATCCATGGGGCGAGGGCAAGGGGAGAAAAGATAGCCCTGACGGGTTCCTCGAGTGGTATTGTGGGACGACCCGTTCGATACCATTCTCGGAGTGAGAAAAGTATACTCATATGACATGCGCAACGGTATTGCATGACTGAAACCAGTATCCACAAAACCATGTCGAAGTTCAAGTGGATCGAATGGTTGCCAACCCTAGCTGCGTTCTACTCCTGCCACTCCACCTGAGGTGAAACAGTCGGGGTAAGACTCCTCGAACGCAAAGGAAACGACTACGAGACTATGAGAGGCTGAATAATAGCGCACCCACCTGTCTCCTTGGTCTTCATCCTTTCCAGCCGCCCCAATCGACGTCAGCCCTACCACCGGGCGTTTGGTCCCTTCTAATCGGATACCGACATCCTGTGACCTCGATGTGGTAGAGGAATATTCATCCCCAGGAGTCGGTATTTCGTGTTCATCTGACGAACGATGTGCGGACTGCTGCCGCGCCAGTTTGTTGTTCGTTTGGGACTTGAACTCTTCCGCGGCCTTGGCCAGCACTACCTCATCTAGCCAATTTCGCCTGTCTGGACCAAGAGTACTCTGTTCTTGATGGTAGGAGGGGCGGGAGGTGCAGCGTAGACACATGAACGTTACATCGCGCGAAGGCTCGTATGATGTTTTGGTAAAGGTGGCAGTCGCCATTCTTGGAGAGGTGGTTCCCTCCGCATCATGCGCTCACAAACTAGAACGTGAGGACACTGTTTGCTCGAGGCAATTCAGTTTGGATGTCTGGCCCGAGGCCCAGCGATAAATGTCGGTGAACCATATCCATACTTGTACTATTTGTACACAAGCCAAACCTCGTGAGGGTCGCACCTCGGAATACCCGCCGCGTAGGCGCTTCGGTGCTTCGTCCGACTTGATACTGTCTCCCAGCTCCCACCGGGCCGCGTACGTGAGCACCCTGGGTTCGGGATGTTTGGTGAAGGCGAGCTTGTCGAGTTGATACCTCTTGAACCCGCTGTGCGGCGGAACCTGAAGAAGGAGACCAAGAGTTCCGAACAGCTAATTGGTTGGGAGGTTAGAAAGGTGTGGAAATACATGGCCTTCGGGAATGTTCGTCGAGTTTCATGTTGTCCAGTTGGTTTCGATGTTGCTCGAATTCGGACAGTCCGTGTCTCACACGTTCTCGTTGCACGTTCGAAGAATACGATCTTTGAAGCACGCGTATCGGTTGGTTTCACCCTCAAAGCGCCATGCTTGCCCGCCTGAACGCAGCAGTCACATGATCTAGGTATGCCAACAGTAGTTCTACTTGCGATGACTGAGAAAAAATAGCAAAAGTGGGTGCGGTAGATTGAGGGCTCCTTACCACTCCAGTGGAGTACATGCTGCGAGTTGGCATGTCCGCCGTCGCGTAGCTCCCCTGTTCCGTGAAATGACCAGTTGTGGTCAACCACCGATCCCAGAAGGAGCCGTCCCCATCTCCGAAGCGCGAACTTGGCCCAAGGTATTTATTCATCTCCGGCACATCCTGCAAAGATGAAAAAAAAATAAAACATGAATTTGCCCGGAACAGCTACGTTTGACAAAATAACGTACTCGCTATGGCGCCCGTCTCCGTAATCAGACATCTGGACAACCGATACCAGCTACATTATCCGGGTGCCACGTCGATGCTGCCATTTGCGGGGTGGGGTTAACCCACGGAGCGCGGGCAGGCGCGTGAACTTCACTGTCCCACGCTTCGAGCCCAGGGTTGAAGCAAGTGTACATCGCTCAAGGGCGACGGGTCTACCTTGTCAGACTTGTCGACAAGAGGAATGTGAGAGAGAAGAAACTAACGCGTTTTGTGGGAGCGCAAGTAGTCCGTCGCCATCAGGAGGTGGACAGCAGTCTCGCTCCCGCGCAAAGCTGAGCACATTCTCGGAGAGCTTCATCGAGGCGTCAAAACCATACTTGGGCCTACCTTGCAGAGCCCCAAGACACACAATCAACAAGTGCGATCGCTATTGAACACGTGTGCCTAGTCAGTTTGATATGGTGAGTCGATAGCCACTTGAATGCACGTGTCGTGGTACCTTTCGGCCTTCGAGTGGTCATCCCGTACCCGCAAAAAAAGACCCCCATGACACGAGCAGACCCCATCGTCCTACGGAAAAGCTCCCACAAACGCACGCGCCCAACAACAAATTCATGAGAGCACATCACTGGCACACCTCGAGAGAGATGGCCTGGGCCGGCGTCGCTCCGGGGGACTGGGGCGCTCCTCTCTGCATCCTCTGTTTCCCCGCCCCGGATCCCTGTTGGCGGGAGGACACCTGGTCGTAGAAACTCCCGGCCTCCTTCTCGATGTCCGCGATAACCTACACCGCCATGTCACAAGCCGGAAGAATGGCCATGGAAGTTATCCGGAGGAGTAGGATCTCCGTCTTGCGAAAGTGGTAAATCTCATTATGGTTGGGCGCATTGCTGGCCAGAGATGGCGCCCACCCTGACGTAGGGAAGGGTCCTGTTCCCTGGGTTCTCTGCAGGTCGACATTTTCAGCTTTGTTACTCCGTGACGCATCCACATTTTTCTTCCAAACCCTATCCTTTTTCGCTCATCACCTGGCCAAGATGCTTTTGTGGTTCATCCAGAAAGTTCTGGATGCGCTTGAGGTTTGCCATCCCTAGCACGGTGTTGTCGGAGGAGCCGCGGTACTGTGCGTTGAGAATGGATGTGCGGCTCAAGGACGTACCCACTCGACCTTCACCTCCTCCCGAATTCTTGTGGCCCGGCCGGAGCTTTCCGGCAAGAACATCAAACAGCTCCGTCACGTCTCCGGCCATGTTACGAGCGTGCGCGAAGGCCTGCGTCGCAACGAAACGAGAAACAATTGCCGTGAAGACCAGCGACGGATTTGAACGGAAATATGCTCAGAAGCGGGCAGTCATCCGCCGCAAGCGCTGGCATCATGCCCGCAGGTCTACTCCCGGTTGAAGCTTGAAGCTTTTGAAATGTGGTTGGTTTTCCGAAAACCTCCTGTGATGTACCATTCGTGTAGCCCCCGCTAGTCTAGAGTGATGACTAATCTCCTAGCGATTCAAGTTTGTTTTCAAGTCACTACGCCATTGTGGGACGTGGAAGGGGGTGTACATAGTCAGCAAAGACAACATTGTTAGACGATCAACATCCTGCACAAAACAGGGTAGGGCTACCTAAAACCGTGTTTTGAAATTGGTGGTTCAGTCCCGTTTGGCCCTCTCAGAAGAAATGAGTTGTAGACGCCATGTTTTTTCTAGCGAAGGCCTTCCGTCTACAATATACACCTTTTTACCGCTAGATAGCCTTTAGAAATGAACTTGTTTGATAAGCCGGAAACGTCATACCCAGGAAGGGCATTCCACTCGAGGTACAAACAACTCTCAGGGGATGCTGTTGTGGGGATCAGAAATGCCAACACAATTCAATGGCCTACCCATGGCTCGCATTGCCGCACAACTTTGACATGCCGCTGTTTTTTTTCACGCCAGTCCGAGATATGCCGCACCCTGTGTCGTGTATGTACAGAAGCTGTAAGCTGTAAGGTCAGACGCAAGCACAGGGCGAAAATGTTAGAGGCACTGCTGTTCTGCGACCAGTGGAGGTAGACAATACATACCACAGCAGCGGGCAATGGTTTCCGGGAGGAGTGCCACAAGGAGGGTTTGCTCGCTTTGATAGTCAGCGCATGCTGCTAGGACCAAACCTTGCAAGATGGCCGCACCCTGCTGCATGGTACCTGGTCGTCAGCGTGTGCTTCTTGGCTCTTTCGCTGCATGCTGCGAACATCGCCCATCCTGAAGGCTTTTATACACTGCTTTCTGTCGCCCAGTTTGCCAGTCCTTCGCCCCCGGCTCGGTTTCGTCGTCCTCTCTCCCTCTTCCCCTCTCCCTCACCCCCCTCTCTCCCGCGGCTCCTGCCCTCTCCGCTCAACGCTCAACGCATGGCGGCGAGATTTTATTGGTTCCGCGGTTTCGTTGTGCCTTTTCGCCAAGGTTCCCCCGCATAGTCGATACTCGAAGCGAGGCACAGCACACCAGAGACTTGTTCCAGAGCACGAGCGCTTAGTTGTCCGGCACAAGCAGTGGAACCCCCACGAACGCCAAGGAACACAAGGCGTGGTCTAAGGAAACAGTTGTTTCGATTTCCTTCTGTTGGTGTGCACCGTGCGGGGCTCATGGAGGGGTGGATGCAGAGCGGCGGCCCAATGGTTGCATCCAACGGCAGAGACCGGGGTTTACGTAGTCCACGCGAAAGCAGAGGCCAGGGAGGACGCCTACTCGATCCTTCATCTGAGCTTGAGGTAAAAGTGCAACCATACCATAATATCAGAACACCAGGCAGAAACACGTTAAACACGGCAGCGTCATTGTTGTAAGGTGCAGGTGTGGCATTGATGCAAGGTTTGTACTGCTTGCTGTCTCTGTGAGCTACATAGCAACCAGTTAGGTCACAACCTTTCTTGAGTGATGTATGCGTATGTGAAAGCTGTTCGTCGACAATGCGCAGAGACGCAAAGAGGTATGCTAAGAAACGTTGTGTTGATAAACATCTGACATATCGAAGTGGAGCGCGTGTTGATATAATGATTTTGAGGGAGAGTCGGGGATTGAAGAGAAAACTAGCACAAAAACAGGAACCCGCTGCAGTCGTCCAAGCGCGAGAGGAATGCGTCCCACGATTAGGATCATTGTGCATCTGTACAAGAAAACTCCACATAAAATAAATGAAATGCACAAATTGCACCAAATCCACGCTCTATTTTAAATCTGAATTGACGGCGCTGGCCGGTGGACCAATGAAACACCTCCTCCAACAGTAGTCTACATACTGTAGTTGGTTTGGTCCCCGGACAGGTGGGTACATGAGATTGGGCGACAGGACGGTCCAAAATCGTTGTTTGATCCAAATATGTACTACCAACCGTGCCAAATGGCAACCGACTGACCAGAGGTATTGATGGATAAATACGATGATACGCTTTCTGTTGTTAAAATACAGCGCATTTACTGCTGTAGGATGTGTGTACAGTATAGATTCAGGTAGATTGTTGTTTGATCACCCGTAGATGCTACGAAGTGGTATGAAATGCGTTTGGTAGAACGTAATATATAGCGACGAGTCATAGCAAGGAGGTCGTGAACAAACCAATTGTTGCGTAGGAGATTATCATTGTAGCGAGATCACGAGCTGTTGCGAGCCCCACCGGACCCACTCCCAACCATCCCTCAACATGTCAACTCTGCAAGTAAGCTGTGAAGTGTGAATGACTGAAGATAAAGGTACAAGTCTCAAAAGCGGCATTTAGCAACAACACTGACTTCGGTCATTGACTTCACAGACTCTGGTCTGAGCAGACTTCGGTTTTGAAAATCATACAGTCTTCTGTCTGAAACTGCACATAGGCTTTAACTGCCTTCAGTTTAACCGCCTGCAGACGACCATGGGGTACAGGGCAGCTCGACCCGACACATTTCTTCATCAGTTAGGAGGGCCGCGGTGGAGACTGAACGACAGCAATAGTCTACCTCCTGTCTCGGGGTTCAGCGCTTAGGCGCAAAGAGAAACGTAGTTCGTGTGTGCGTCAATAGGGAGGGACGCGGTTGGGGCGAACCATTCTCCTGGAATTCATCGGAGAGAGGCGCCGTTGGGACTGTTATACCTTGCGGATGCTGAGACGTGTGACATATTAGGCTACAACACATGTGTACGCTGATGCATCGATGCAACATAGCAAAATTATGACTTCGATATACCGATACATCGAGAACAGCTCAGGTGTTAGCTTACTGCGTGGGACGGTGCAACACTACGAATTGACCATAACTGAGCGATGCGACAAATCACTATTTTGCCACCCATTGAGCGACCTGACGTGTACACATATGACCGTCATACGACGCACAGAAGGGAGTGTGCGCCACTAGGCCACGCCCATCGACGAATATTGCATTCGGGGGTGGTGGGACATAACCAAAGCCTATATCGTTGTAGGCAGTAGGGGTGTAACCCCAACTGATGACGTGCATGTACGTTAGAGTTTCCAGTGCACATCTCAAATGTATAGTGTCGAGTCAAAGCGGTCGAAGCCCGAGCGTCAGCGATAGCTCGGGTAGTTTGACTGATCGAGATTTGCGACGTTTTCCAAAGGTCATCAATGACATCACCCTTTTCACAGTGTTGACCTCTTCAATCCTGTTTGGCGATGAACATCGATGGGCGTAGGTTCTGAAGTGCATCATGCTGCGTGAAGGGTACCTCTCACGCGTCACAAGGTTAGCGGAGGGCATGCAACGAAGGTCGAAACGAAGCTACGGTCTGCCTGAGGCTCTCCCCCCCGGTATGGTTGATCTCCTGGACTTGCTTCGGATTGCCACCCTGGAAACGGTCGAAGCAATCTCCCTATGGAGACTGTCCCAGGTGAATGGATGGTTTCGACCGCTTGGACAGCACAAATTTACCTCATAATAGGCAAATTTTTGGGCAGATACCACGCGGCGAAGGGCGGAAGTTCTAACCCGTGGGTATCCACGCACGATATCGTCGTGTTGACTGATTCTCAACGGACGTTATGGCCCTACCTCCAACCACAGGTAACTCCTACACCCGCACCATTTGAGTGGAACGGCCGCAACTATCTAATGAAAATGCTGCAAGACTGCGACTTTCTGGACCGCGTTGAGGCTCTCCGCAACTGGCTCGGTTTCCCAATATCAGGCAACCCCTTCTTCGTTCCACAAGACGAGGTGAACACTCGCAACGAACCAGATGAAGGCTCCGCCAGTCGAAGAACTAGCCAAATGGTTGGTGCAGGGTTAGGTTTCGATAAGTCCGGCCTGGCCGACGTTGGGAGGCAGCCGTGGCTCGGGCCATTAGTATTGAAGAGCGTCGATGAGGCCGGTAGCGATTTCGGAAGAGAAGCATATAGCAGCCGACGCCGTAAACAGCGGAGACTACGAAAAACGGATGGAACGAACAGTCTGGCGCCCTACGCTGCTGCTGTCGTGAACGACCCGACTCTGCTGGCTGCGGTGAAGGCCCCATCTCCAACGCGACGGGGCGACCAAAACGGCATCCAAGGGTTAGGTCCGAGAACAGACGCCCTCGAGTTGTCACCTAGAAAGGCTACCGTGGACATTGAGGCATTGGTCCCTAACCTCGTTTCGAGGGATGACGCGTGCAGGATCGGTGTGGCGATAAAGGCTCTGATGGATGAACAGAAGCGATTGCTCGAGGCTTCTAAGGTATCGGAGGCAGAAGCAGCGCAATGCTTTGGTCGCCGGCGGAGATCCAGGGCTTGGTCGAGAGTTTCGACCGCGTCATCGAATGCCGGTTGGCAGAACTTCCGTGCGTCTGTAACCTCGACAACTGGTGCAGCAAGCAAGCGACCATCTAGCTTCGAAGCACAAGTCACTCGCCGAACAGGATCAACTGTAGGGACTTTGCGCCGCAACCATCAGGTTGCGTCTGGTTTGCCTGAAACAGGCGACATGCGCTCTTTAGTACGGACGGCAGCCGGGCTCATGAACCAACCGCTGCCTGACCCGCACCCTGGGCTGGGACCGGTGTTACTGAAGTCAGATCTTCCGGGTGGACAACTACACCCTCACCCGTTCCTCCACACTGTGTCGGATGCTCATACTGCAACGACAGACGGCCTCGAGCAAGAAATCTCAATAGTTGTTCCTACCATCTCGGGTCCGGAAACCGAGGACCGATGTTCCACAGCGCCTTCGAACTCGAACTCAATGGTGGCCTCGTCTTCGGCCAGAGATGTAGCGGGTGGGCGGCAAAGGCGAAGCGTTCGCCGTCGATCCTCGGTGAACCATCGCCGCGCTGTCACTGCCCCGGCGAGTTTATGCAGTTCATCTTCAAGTCCAAGACGTTCGCTCCTGGAGCAAGGACCGCTGATCTCTTGCGCAATTCAGCAGGATACTCCCACATCTCGTGTACCTTTCGCGGAACGAGCTGAAACGCAGGATATGATGAAACCGTCAGCCTCGGAGTACTCCAGCCGGGTGTTCGGGCTGTCGCGAAAAGCCGGCGCGGAACTGAGGGCGTTGACGGCCGCGGGGACGACAGGGCGGCGGCAGCCTCCGCCTCGTGAGATACGTCTGCGCCGCCTGGCAAGGGACGTCGCCCGGCACGCGACGGAACTCCGGCGGCTTGTGGGGGAAGAAAATCGGCTCAGGAAATATCTAGCTTCTCGATGCAGCGACGGCAGCAAACAAGATGGCGACAGCCAGTTACTCCACTGCGGGCGAAGAGGAAGTGCGGGAGGCATGGAGAATGACGATGATGCCCTTGCGAGAATGGTATCTGTGAGGGAAGATGGCAGTAGAGCTCCTCAGCGGACGGGTTTAGATGCCGTGGACGGTGAGTTACCAGAGCACCACCAGAAGAAGATGCAGACTCTGCTGGAGGCAAAACGCCGTGAGATCGAGTTGAAGACGTTCGATCTCGGCGTAAAGCGAGACGAGCTGGGCTGCCTTCGGGTGGTGCAAAAGCAGGAGCGAGAGAGGAAGCTTGCTCTAGAGATGGAACGGAGGCGCGCTCGCCTTGCAGACGGGCAGGTCAGTGCCAACGAAACACCCCAGCCCCATCGTATAAGCCTCCCCGGTGTTTAACTGGCGTTTCATGGTGGAGCCCTTACGATATCTGCTGCTACAAGTCGATGATGTAGACATGTTGTTCGGTTCCTAGTCGCTCATACCGTGGGCTAACCTGCACTGCTCAAGTGCCTGGATTAGGAATGGTACACCGTGCCGGTTCGAAACATATTTCCTGCCGCTTGGGATAGACGCGCTGTGTCTACTTCATGAACAGTTATTTCCCTGGTGGATCGTTGTCGCACGCGATGAAACCAAGCAGAGGTTACCAGATGATGACAAGGTGGCGGAATCGCTCGAGGAGAGTTCTTGCCTCCTGGTGCAGAAGCGCATCCGGGGAAATACTGGTCGCAAGTACGCGGCGTGGTATAAGGCGCACATTCAACAGGCAAGCCTCCATACCTGACGGTAGTATCTATTCGACCATGTCAACGACACTTGGGGTTGGTATTTCTCCACCTGGTCTGTGCTACTGTTGTATATGCCGAAGAACATGTGTTCAAAGAGCTACATGAAATTTAGACTACATCCTCCACCGGGGGACTCAGCAAGCGCGGCTCACAGCACCACGTACTCTACACGCAGCTCCGTTTGGCCATTGCGGCCATTCCCAAGTATCATCATTGGAGTGTACGTGTACATGGGCCATTGAAATGCACGGGAGACACATGTTGTCAAAGCATGCCCTCGAGCATCGAATATGTCTTCCAAAGAGCTACAGTTGAAAAAAAACCCAAATAACCGTTTCCGGCGTCAAATGGCCAGATTGAAATCCGCATCACATTAACATTGTCAACGTCAGTCGCAGCACTTTCTAAACGTGACTGTCAACAATGTTGACAGGCAGCAATGACAATTCAACGTGGAGTCTGGTTCATTTGGGACAGAAGAGCTACAAGGCGCCGCCTCCTGCTACACGCCTCGGCGAGGCCGATCCAGGCGACCATCCGGATGTTCGTCAAGCGACAAGCCTACAAGCGATTGCTGCGAGAAAAGAAGGAATTGTTCGCAACTTGCAAGGTGAGCGAAAAGGCGACGAGGGAGAACCGTGCCTTCATGAGTCGCCACGAAAGTTGTAGTGCAGCAGTTGAACCGCCTTGTCGGTGGGTGTCTCTCCAAGCTACTCAACTCACTGAGGGAGAAATTGATGCAGGCCTGATGCTGTGAAATATATAGCTGGACGTTTTCAGCACACCGACGCTATTACCTTCTCTCTTCTGCTACCAGTTAGTGAATTCGCCCTAATCTTGTTGGTCCGACTATTACCGGGAACGCTTTGTCGACCCCCTCGCCTCTTGTTCGTATCTAGTGGAAACGAATACCGTTGGTCATGTTTTGTCGGGCTCCGTGTTTTTTAATCGTTCCTAAACCGAAGCATGATGCCTGACGGCTGCATTTATCCGTTCATCCGTCTCAGATCCAGAGAATCGGTCGCGGAATGCTCGGGCAGCGGAGGGCGGCGGCACGCCGATCGATGATAGCGGCAGCTACCAGGGCGCTTGACTGGGTGTCTCTAGAGAAATTACAGCCAAAACACCTCAAGGAGCTGGCGCACGCGATTCATGGTGCTCTCGTAGACCCAGTGGTAAGCAGGGTAATGCATGATAGTATGAGGAGTTCGTCAGGGTTGTACTCGAAGCCCACACGGATCGCACGTAACGTCCTTCAACAATAGCCCAGTGAGGTTGTTTTCACCCATCCGCACGCGTGCCCCACCGAACGCTTGGCCTTGGGATGCTGCACATCGGGTATTGGATTAGAACCCCAGGATTCGACCGTCACTCCTCATACCAGCGACGGAAAAAAGTGGTATCCATGGCCAGGGTACGCTTCCGACTTTGAGAACGTCGGCTCGGGAACATCGCGCGAATGGGCGCGATCCAATTGACAAAACAAAACATTTCTGTCAATAGCCCAGAGGGTTACTAACACAAGATGAGCAATAAGTGCTGAGGCCATCTCCTTGTTACGACCGTTTCGTTGCACCGGCCCCACACCCACGTGCGATGTCATCCCAATTGTTCACTTTTTCCTGTCGACTTGCACCGCGATACCGTACGACACCACGAGCAGCGTCAATTTCCCCCAGCAGGCGTGCTCGGGGCCCTTCGTGTAACGTTGACAATCTTAGACGATGCAAAAGAAAAATGCACCAGCGGCAGCGGCGGCGGTGGCAGCAGTGGTCGCAGCAACTGCAGCAGCGGCGGGAGAAACGGCAGCGGCAGCGATGGCGGGACAGGCAGAAGAAGCAGCGGCGTCGGGAACGGCAGTGTGGAAATGGTGACGTTTCAAACAGCCCTTGGGCGCACTGTGCGGACCCCAGTGTCCTCGGCGGATCTGACGTGGGAAATGGCTGCGAGAGTGCTGGGAAGACCATTCCGGTAAAGATATTATTAGAGTCAACTGACTTGACACCAGACCGTGTTCTAAATAGCCGGTAGCGTTTCGTTGTATATGTGTCCTCTGTCAGCCCTGCTGTAACGATCCTCGCCCCACGCACAATAGAAACCTTTCCAATGTACATCTACCTCTGTGATACCGGCAGGACGGCCATACATCATTTCAGTCCTCCCCCTTCTTCGACAAATTAACCCTTCGACACAACCCCTCTCCCGTCCGCCCACCAAGGAGATCGATGGAGACCACGTGATTACGAGCATGCAGGCATTCGACAGAAGATATATAGTTGCACGACGACAACGCAAAAAACGGCGCCAAGACTCGACATTGAAGTGATTCACCGAGGAATAGCAACCGTGCTGGTACCAAAGGAGAACCGCCATCTCGTTTCTAGACTGCACGATATGCTTTGAAGTACAACACGCCTCCCCTTCCCGAAACCGTACGTCAATAGGCTTTTGCGGCGAATGAGAGCCTTCGCGTCCGGCCTGGGGGCCTCTTCCGACTCAAGCCCCGCCCGCCTGCTTCACCTCTCCTCCGAGGCCTGTAGACTTCTCGCTGCCTACCGGTCGGACGCTTCGTGGTCCACCGAGTCGCTGGCGGCGATAACGCTCGGCGGCACGGCAGCTAGGGCGCTGGTCGGGTGGGCGGTGGAGCTCGAGCGAGGGTACGCGGAGCAGCCTCGCGTTGAAAACTTTCTGAGGTGCGTCCGCGTGGCACACGCACGGATTTTTATGGTGGGACGGTTAGGGTAGTCGGAGTTAAAGAGACTGCTGTTCCGTTCAAACATCATCAGTTGTGGGGTGTGCGCCCAGCCTACTTTCTTTGGCGGGGGGGGGATGTAGCGGGGTACGCCGCGGTTTCGACGTGTATGATTCATAGCATCCATTTGAACACGTGCATAACTCTGGCAACGGGAGGGGTAGGACGCCACGTTGAAGCACACAAGGATAACAACACGGGCAAGTTTGGAGCGATTATGTAATTGACATTGCACCAGCAGATTTTCGTCCCCCACATGTACAGTGTTTGTACGTACGGATAGCGTGGTTAGACAATACATTTTCTGAGTACTTTTCAAGCTTGTCGCGCACTTGCGCCCTCGAAGATATCTACAAGGGGTCGGTGTTATGGTCCACCTGGTACGGCAACACGGCAAGTCCTCAAGGGCCGCCGAGCTCTGATCCATGTTGAAACTCCCTAAAAAATCACGGCCTCTGTGAAACCGAACCCGCCCCACCACTCAGAGACGCGCAGCCTGCGTGGCTCCGGAAAGGGCGGTCCTTCCAGAGACGCCGCCGAGCGTTGGAACTCCACGCGGAGTCGTGTCGGCAAGCGGTGGTGGTTGCGAGGCAGTACCGCGAACACCTGGAAAACCGGGGACGTGCTTATGGTGACCCGGTCGTGGCGTTGGAAGTGCTGGAAGAGCAGCGTCAGGCTGCGGAAGAAGCGGTTCAAGATCTGGAACGCAAGAGGATAGAGTTTCTAGCCACGCAAGCTAAAGCCGAGGTAGGTTCGCAGCGATGAGAATGTTCTAAAGATTTCACCATCGAAAGTAGAACCATCTGCTCATCTGCTGGGACATCTGAGTGTGTTTGGGGGGTTGAGATTTCCCGTATGAACCCGGGTCCTCGGATACCTGCATTCGTAAACGTTGTGGGGTTCCGACAAATCACCGCTCTGTGGTTGCGACATATATCAGTGTTGTGAAAAGAATAGTGTAGGTGGTCGTGTCGGCAGTTCAACCTCCCGTCTTCTGAGGTCACTCAGAAACAGACAGGGAACTGTTTAGGTATGCATTGTCGACGTAGGGCGAACCAGACACTGACCACCATGTCGGTGGCTACCTGGCTGCCCTCACTTCGGATTCGGAACGGCTCGTCCCTGAACCAACAGGAAGCTGCCGGGAGGGCTCTCACGGACGATGTGGAGTTCGCAGAGCGGGAAGCCTCTGTAGCTGCAAGGGCGGAGGAGATGGCTCGTCGGCTCGGGCAGAGCGGGTCCGAGGAGATAGCTGCTTTGGCCGGGAAGACGCTCGACTGTGGAGTTATCCTCAGGCGTGTCATGTTGTACTATTAATACTCCTAACTGTGACCAGCTATTTTTGTGTAGTTTGCCGTCGTTGCCTCCATTCCTAATGAGTATTTCCTTCGTCTTGGGTACGTACGACCGATCAGCTCTATTCGGGTGTGCACGTGACTGCACGAGTGTAGATGGGTGACAGTGAACCAGAAAAGTAAGGGGCAGATAAATCTGGGGGAAGCACGTGGTGCCAGGGTGGTCCTAAGACGGGGACAAACAGGTGTGGGAATCGGGCTTTCTCGAATATGAGTGAAGTTTATCTTCCAGCGTACGGGAACTGTCCCTAGAAAGGATAGCTTCGCTGTTGGGTGTGTCATAAACGGAAGTAGGGTCGCTAGGGGGCTACATTCGCTTTGTTCGTGTGGTCACTGCTGCTGTGTCGATCGTTGTTGAGCCTTGTCTTCGAACACAACTATGCAGGCGTCGGACATAAAAAACGCCGGTACCTTCACATGATGCCCAATAACGGCAACGTGAACCATTGAGAATCTTTCAAGTAGACCACCATGAGTTACAATCACGACCAATTTCAGCGTGCTTAGCTACCTCAACGAGGTCGTTGAAACAGCGATTGATGTCCGCGGAGGAGGTTTATATCCAAGCCGGATTTCGGGATGGCCCATGCAACACTCGCGTTCATTTGTTCGCAAACAACCAGCACTCTATCGTGTCAAATTTCGCACACATCGTCCCCCCGCAACGCTCGCAACCACGGGCTGGGTTGCTTCTCTGTGAATCATTGTAATTGTAGGGAGTTGCAGAGGCGGTTGCGCGTGTGGGAGCGGCGCTGTCGGCAGGAGAATCGACCCCTTCTGCAGGAGTGGATTCCTCCGACGGAGAGTCAGAGAAACATGTCCCGAGCTTTGGGGGAAGTTCGCGCGTGGAAGCAGATCACAGTCGTGCAGAAAACAAGGTGGGGCGCGTCGGTGTGGTTGCGGCCTCGTGTTTTACGCCATCGCTCATGAACAGACGAAAGTTGCCTCCGTCAAGGGGCAACCAGCCCTGGGTACGCAAGGCTGAAGAGGTATGGTGGCCACCGCAGGTCTTACCGTACACTTAGCTCAAGAGTAGTGGCTGCAATAATCAACTCCACGACTACATGGTCCACCCACCACCGGCACGTAGTTGCAGACGACGAGAGAAAACTGTCAGAATGCGCCATGAGCATTTGAACGCCGGTTGCCACCATTATACAGGCTTGTCGAAGACGCGGGAGGGCGTCGGTTCGTCAAGGGCTTCACCGGCAAGGACATGGAAATTTGGAGGAGCGCTGTCGAGGGGTTGGCAGCATGTGGTGCGGACATTGAGTCGGGTGAGGCGAGACTAGAGGAAGACGTGGGCCGGTTCGAACAAGAGATCTCGAGAGTCAATGCGGAGATTGCGGCTCAAAAGGTACCAGCGCATATGAAAAATTGATAAGAAGCAAGGGCTCGAAGCCGGTCGTCCCGGTGGTCTAGTTGATATCCTCGAAACCTTCTAGAGGTCAGGTCAGGGGTTCGAATCCCGGCGTAAGCGAGCTTTTCTTGCAAAGTGAGTTTTTCCCTCGCTTCCGCTCCTGGCCTAGTGGATAGCGCTAGTTCGTGTGTACACAGAGGGAAGAGAGTGCTGAACTCTTCTCGCAGTAAAAATCGAAGGCAAAGTACCGCAGAAGGGGAGGGTAGAGGGGGGCTCTTCTGTGTGACCACGGGTTGGAGTAAACGGCACCAGTGCTGTGAGCGCTGATTTGAAGTGAAGACAAAAAAAAAAAAAGGGCAGCACCGCCGTATTGCCACAGCGTTTGTCTTTTGATATCCGTGCTCCGGTTTGACTTGGCCAGAGCAACCCGCTGATGCACTCTTACCCCTTTGATCCCCTACACTCTAGTTTCTCGAATCGATGGAATGTGTCTGTGGTTTGATAAATGAGACGTTGGGAAAGGGTTTGGTGCCAGAACGGGCATGCGTTTGGATTTAGGAGGTGGCTCGCGTAAGTTTAGACCGGGGCATGGCTCCAAAAGCAATACTGGTGCAATACACGAGGAGCGGTGTGTTTCCGCAGAAAGTAGGAGGTACACCGTGCCTTCACCAGTGTTGTTTTTGGCTTTGGTGGTGCCGTGCGACGGCTCACCCTTGACGCGTGCGTTCCTCACTTTCGTGTTCTCTCTGCTCCCTCCCAAAGGTCAGCTCCGCTCGCTGGGACAACACCACCAAAGAAACACAAGCCCTAGAACGGCAAGAGGATGCGGACGCCGCTCGCGACGAGCGGAGGACCGCCATGGGCGCAACCCTTCCTCCCGGGATGCTAGAAAACCCTTCTGGGACTTGCGCGGGGGGCGGCGTTGAAAGCCAGGGTCCCTCCGGCGGGTCCTCCCAACGACGACCCGTGCTGTTGCTCCTGGGGCTCGACCTGCCGGCCTCTGTCCGAGAAGAGGTAAGGGCCGGACTCGAACGTGATGCTCCCGATCTATTCGGCCAGCATGTCGTTGGTGTCGACGCGCTCCCTTCTCTGGCGTCCGCAGCGCAGGCGGCAGGGGGGCAAGGCTGTTTCTTGGAGCCGTGTCAGGAACAGACGGCAGGAGCAGTGACACCTCCTCCTTCTACTCAACCAATACGGGAGACGGTTGTGACCGGCAATACCGGTCAGAGAGGTTCGCCCAAACATGGCGAACGTCTCGGGGGCGTGGCAACTGCACGCGGCGACTTCGAACAGGGTGTTGTCGCAAGGACGCGAGCTAACCTGGTACAAGCCGCGCTATCGGCCGGCAAGAACGTATCTCTCGAGGTGGTCCCCGGCCCGGGGCTATGGGCGCGGGGGCGTTTTCTTCGGGACCTAGAGGCCCTCCTCGGGGGATTGGACGCGTGCGGGTGTGGCGTAGACCACAGCGACACCGATACGAAACAGACGTCTGGGCCGACAGTGCTGCTAGTTGAAGGGCACAGCCGAAATCGCGCCGGAGGGGGCATGGACGTGAGCCACGGCACGAAGTTCGTAGGAGAAGGCGCCGCGAAAAACTGGAAGGCGGACCGTTCTTACGATCAGGGACCGGAAAGGACACTCCCCCCTGCATTGTTGACCGCCAGGAGGCTGAAAGCTCTCATGGAGGAGGCGGCCCAGTGTCTACACGATCTGTCTACCGAGTACGGGAGAACTCCCAGTCCGTTCAAGGCGATACAAGATGACAGCTATGCCTCTAAAAGTTCTAAGGCACCGAGAGAAGCCCATCAACGACGCCAAGGAACAATCAGAGCAGAGGGCTCAACGGACCCCGAACGACCAAACGCTGGCAGTTTCCCGATGAGAAAACAGTACAACGCTTCGTTGGCGACGACAGGCTCCCGAGGGATGGCTTTGCTGCTGGCAGCATGTCACATGCTCCTTCACCCTGGTCGACGATATGACTTAGGGGAGTTCAGGACGGGAAGAGGTCTGGACGTGTACTTGACCGAAGGCATGACGATGCAAAAATCGCCCGGTAAAGCGCCAACCACGTCGAGCGAAGAGGTTGAACTTGGCGCCTTTGAAATGGTTCACGCCTTCAACCTAGCAAGGAGCTGCCGCGAAGAGCTTGCCGAACAGGGGTCGGCTCGGGGCGTGGCCGCCTTACTCCGTCGAGCAGACCTTTACTCGACGCCACTCGAAACAGCCGTTGCCCTCCAACGCCTTGTGCAGCACTCCGACTGGCCCGTGGCCTCTCCTCGTTCCGACTTCGCCGGGTGTTCCGCTTCTGGGGCGTTCGTAGGATGGGTTGTTGCAGCCGTGGCTGTCACGACCGAGCTTGTTCTCGGAGGGGGTGGGGTAGAACTGGGGGCAGGTTCAGGTTCAGCCCGAAATCCTTCAGGTGACGAGCGGAAGGCCGTGGCGTCAGGTACGGGTGTTGAAGGCCGGGGTTGGTGTGGAGGGGCGGGCGGGGCGGGGTCGACAGCGGAAGGTAGCGGCGGCAATGCGCTGCTATCTACAAGCATGAGAAACTTACAAGAGGAACGAACGCGGGAACAGAGGCTCCTGCTAGGAATGGAGACGTCCTTGATTGATGAGATCGTTGCTGTTCTGGACGACGATTCACCGTGGTTGCCACCACCGGAAGACCCCGAAGGACATGGGGACGTGAGAAATCGGCGCCAATGCAGGGCTTCGGAGGTGTTCAATGCACTACTGGACACAGTTTTAAGGCCTTTCAACGTGAGTTTCAATATGTGGCGGTGGCGGCTCTAATGTCCAGTTTCTCTGTTCCGGGTATCATAACTTACATGTACCCGTAAACGGCAGGAGCCTTGTCGCCTCCTGCACAGTGGTTGTGTGAGATTTGGCATCCATGACTCTCAACATATTCGAAATTGCTGCCCTTACTGGCGCTTGGAGCTCACCGGCTGTCAACCAGATCAAGCAGAATCGTCACACGAACCCTCGGTATCGATTTTCCGCACGCCTCCCGTCGCCGCCTGGATCACTGAACACCGGGCAAGGTGTTCGAGGTGGTGGACCACGAAATTTCTTTAGGCCACAGCCCCCCACAACAGCAAGAGACGGCCTTCGCTCCGTCAGTGCCACAGGCAAGGGGAGAAGGACCTGTCAGCAAGCAGATGGGGGTTTGCCGTGGTGGTAGTGACCGGTTTGGCGTGACGGTGAGCAGGGCGTTCGGGTCGATTTACGCCAGAGCCGTGGTGCTAGGTACAGGGAGCATGCGGAAAGGCCAAGCGGTGACGGCTCGAACGAAGGATGAAGACTTGATCCCTCTTCTTTCTCCGAACTGGATGGAAAAGTGAGTACACAGCGTACGATACTCGTAGCGTGCAGTTTCGCATGTGCGTTGCACATGGGTGAAACAACAGCATTGTTGAATATCGTGTCGTAACAATGTTTCAGTGCGGGCGGACGTTCGTACTTGTTTGGTTGCAGGCGTATGCCATGGTTCCGCTTACGGTGGAGAAACAGCACGCCCACAGACTGTACGGATATGACCTCGCTGAACCCCAGAGGTGTCGTGTAACATACTGTGTACACGCCTAAATCCAGCAGTCACGAAATGACATATGGCACGAGGGACGAAAAAATCGACCAAATATTCATTCCTTTGGTCGACAACAGAACGTCGATTAAATCGATTCTGTGTGTACAAATAGGGCCCAGCAGCGTACAGCAAAACATCCCAGGCGAAATTCCATCGAGTATCGTAGGGTCCCCATGTCCACCACGAAAAATACAAGGTAACGAACATGGTTGGGCGTCCCTGTGTATTCACCTCAACGACGCGCCGTCTTTTTTTCTGCTCTTAAGAAAGGAAGCCCACCCCCCCACCCGCCCCGTTCTTGCGTCTCCAGACACGACCTTTCCGCCCTACGCGAACTGAGGACCGAGCCCGCAGTGTGGCGTGCCCTGGTGGACACTCTCGTTCTACATTTCCCGAATCATGAAACATTTGGCCCTACTGGCGACGGCACCCGGGCGGCTAAACTGTCCTTCAGACACGAGAGGCGCTTGACGCTAGAAACCAGCTGCTTGCTCATGGGTCGCGTGGTTCCAGTCGCCGTGTTCGAAGAAAGCCGGAGCGATTTCTGGTGCGAGGGGGTAGTACCGGCGGCTCTAAGCTCCCTCGGCAGCTCGGGTTGCCCGGTAGTGACAGGAATGCGGGTACCGAAAGAGTGCATCCCCTTGATCCTCGACAGCAACCACCCCATGCGCATGCAGACGATCCTGAACGCGTCTGACCTACGAGAGCTGAGCGGCCTGATCGCCGACCGTCTCAAGCTATCCCGTGTTGGATCGTCGCAACGAGAACAGCGCTCCTGCCACAGCTGGCTCGATGGCGCGATACGGGGGGAGAATCGACCCGGTAACTCGGAGGACCCCTCAGGGATGGCCACTGATCTTGCGAACGCTGCACGGCGCGACAAGGTCCAATCACGAGCAGAATTCAAACTGAGTTTGAGGAAGAGGAGCGTCGGGCAAGTGATATTTTCACGCTTGGTGTCCTTCTGGGTGCCAGCTGTCGACAAGGGGGATGGCGACAACGTAGGGAGGAATGTCTCTGATGTAGGGAACATGGATGGGCGCCAGAAAGAGGACCGATTGCTGGTAATCCCATCCACATCCTCTGGGCATGTCGTCCAACGCCTTATCGTCGTAAAGAAATTTGCCCACAGAGGAGCATGCGGAGAGCTTCGAGGGGAGGTGTATGATCCTGGTACGGGCGGTGCAGCAGAGATCTTCGTTCTCACTCCGGAGCTTACCCGCATCCTACTCGGGGACTGGCGTGCAGAGCTGGAGAATGGCGACCGAACAAAGAACATGTCTACCCGCTACTGGAGTTATGCGCTCACCTGGAGGTTAAGGCTAGGGTTTAACGCTGAAGCCAACGAGAAGACAGGAGATGGTAGCGGAGGTGTTGTCAACACAATGCACACATCCCGCTCTCACTACACAAATCGGGAGGATCCGCTGCCTCATCTGACTGTCGACGAGAGGAAGCCTCTTTTCTCACTTCGCAGAATCGGTGCGAGTTGGGAGATTTGGCCTGCAGATGGGGGTGGCGACGATTCACTGGAAAAGCGCATGGCATACTTTGACATGCTCATACTCGCAACTCAACCGGAGACGGGTGGCCACCTGAAGATGCGTGCGCATAGACGAACAACTTCGATAGAATTTGTGGTAACGCACTGTCAAACGATGGCTGTCTTCAGGTTTCGAGTTCCCGTCAGAGCATTCGTGAAAGAGTTCGACGCCTTAGTTGCCGCGTGCTTGACAGCGCCCACGGCACTCTCGTCAGAGTTGAACCTGTCAGTACCAAACGATGGACTGCGCAACATGGCCGGAAAATGGCTGCACTACTCTCCCGGCGACGCGAAAATTGGGTGCCGCCCTACCTTGTCCCTCATCTTTCCTGGGACAAAGGTCGTCACGGCCAAGTCCTACGTCAGCCTTCGCGGGGCACGTCACCAGCCAGCCACCCGCAGAGGTAGCCACTCCGACTCGGCTAGCCGACGACTAGATCGTCGCGAGAGGGGAACGGATGGTACCGACATTGCAGGAGGGCAGGACAATCCTTCTCTCCAAGGGCGTGTATGCCACAGTGGCGAGGAACGTCAGCCTGAAAGTGGTGGGAGGCACGGAAGTAGAGGCTGGAACGCACGTGGGATACCTCTGCGTGTCGAAACTAGAAACGAGCGCATGATTTTCCGTCGCAGGCTTGCAGTACCTCGATCAGAAGACGTGTATTTGGGACGGGAAAATCCCTCGTTCGCCGGACAGAGACAGGAGGGAGGTACCAGAGAAAAAGGGGTCGGTGAAGGACTTCCTATGGTTTTGGCCATCAGCGTGTACGAATCGTTTACAGCAAGGTCTACAGGGAGGATAGAGCGATATCTCAAGTTCTGTGCCCGGGACGAGACTGTTCGTCCCACCATGGAGACCATCACAACCATACCCTGGGTCGGAACATGCGAAGGGATTGAGGGTGGCAGAATGTGGCGGGTTGTCACGCAAGGCCTGAGGTGTGGGTGCACGCGGGATGAGATGGGAAATCGAGTGGGAATACGGCTGGTTGTGTCGACGGAAGAGATGCTTGGAAAGACGGACATCTACAACAGCGTTGAAGATCAACACCAACGACATTCGCAACCGCTCGCCCCGAAACTTTCGAGCGAAGAGGCCAGCGATGTGGACGAACGCAGCGAAGCAAAAATGGCAGCAGTAGGCGGAACCCTCAACACTCACAACAACGATATACCGGCTGTATCTGGGCCCACCCGAACATGCGACAGGCAGCTTGGACAAGGGCCGTCGACTACTATGCGCGGGCAGACTAACCCAGCTACAGTCGTGGACACAAATGGCCAACAAGACGATTGTTACACCTCTACCGACTGCCCACGGTCGACGTTGCCCGACCTACTTCGAAAGGAAAGTGGAATATCCCAACGATATAGAGAGTTTGGTATGGATCGGACAACGAAGCTCTACACCGGGTGGCATGACATTACCGGGGTTCGACTACACGTGCAGTGCTTCCAGGAGGTGGGTTGCAACAGACAAGAACTTCACGACAATCCAGGTAATGCCGGCGGCGACGAGCTGGCGGAGAGTGGGTGGCAACCGGCAGGGCGGGGAGGAGCTATCGACCTTCCGCGCGCTGCATCACTGCGGTTTGTTGTTTGCAACCCAAGTAGTGGGTACAGGACGGGGCTTCAGGTTTCCGTGAACGACGTGTACAGGAATCTTTCGGTCGATGGTGGGATCGTCGAAGCTGGGCTTCTGGATGCCGGGCGCCGCCCGGCGCTAGCAAGGGCCATTGCTCAAAAGCTCCGCCTCGTGTTTCAAGAGGGTGGTGGCTACGAGGTGATTCTTCCGTTGCCGGCGAGTTGGAACAGGGCCTCTCCAAGAGTTGGGTAAACACGGGCCTGTGTTTTTTGCGACCCGATAGGTTCGGATGGTGTAACTTGCCATCGTCTTTTTTGCCCTTGTTTTTTCTTCACGATCGTTCAAACGTTTTTCCTATATATTGCGCCCGTTGTGTAGCGTGAGACTTGCAGCTTGTCGACGGCCTGGCACCTATCATCTGCTGGACAATCTAGCGCCATACTACAACACGGGAATGTTGGACAAGTTTCCTCCTCGTATTGTCACTGTTCTAGCAGGTGGTCGCGGCCGAACACAAGTTTGGTTGTGCTGCATGAATTTCAAAGCGTGTCGTCACTTCTTGGGTGTGCCTTCGTGTTTGAAGGCGGTGTACCCTACCAACCTCAGTCGCCTTCCTCGTGCCTAGATGCCGTGTACGAATCTACTGCAAGCGCTGCCTTGACTGGGCAACTGCAGTAGGCAACTGTAGTACAGACCACGTCCCCACACTTAACATCGAACCCTCATATTATTGCCCCCTGGGCTCGCGTATTTCCTCTGTAAGGCAACCCAACACCGACAACATACATTTTACACTAGTTGGGGGTTCAAGCTGGGCGTCTGTTCTTGATCACGGTCTGATTACCAAGTTGTCGGGGCCTGTATTTCGTAGCTCCTAGGTTCTTAACTGTTGCCGCATACTGTAGCGAATCTCCTCGCATGGACGGGGAATGAGAACGATCGCCGCCGATGGTGCAATGATGAAAAGCAGTGCAGATTATGACCAGAACAGCACCCGGCAATCACACATGCAGTACATTATTCCAGTTGGACACCGTTGAGTTCCAAAAACTCCATCGGTTGTTGCACAGGGCAGCGGTTGGGTCTTGTATTCACGAGCATACCACTCAGTCTACCTCACACACACCCTAGTCAAACCGACCGAAATTGTCATCGGTACATGCCCAGACAGGAAAATGTCGGAGAGAGTCGAGAAACCCGACACAGAGTCCCGAAAGACCCTGAGAAAAACGTCAAGGGCCGTGAAAACAGGACTCTAGGGGAGTCCGCTCTCAGAGTTACATGGTGCGGGCGAGTACCGCGCGGGTGAGCCCTTAGTTTGATATCTTCGGAAGAAACGCACACGAGCCACTGCATTTGCCGATACGGTACGACACGGCGGACAATCCGACCATGAGCAAGGGTGTAGGAATTTCCAGTGTACTCTCTACATACTTACGGTGCAACACCGATAACCTATACAATGCACCGGAGACTGTTGTTGCGGTAAACATCCGTAGGTGCTCATGTACTGACCCCTTCAACAGCGGCAGCACACTTTCGATTGACATCAAACATACCAACAACGTGTGTACCGACTAATCCGAATGAAAGTATTCAAGATTAGGCCAAAAAAATAGAAGAGCAACGTATACCGCATTTGATACCGCAATAGAGTGCTGCGTGCAACGACCCAACGACCCGCCCCCTCCTCGATATTTTTTTATCGGCTGGGTCAGTCTAGCTTGAAGCACAGCCATAAACCATCGAGGTTAAAAACAACAGCTAGAACGCCTCACCGGAAATACCTTCGGTGGTCCATGTTCACGGCGTGTCGAGCATCATCTTACGGGGCAACGTAGAAATCAGCAA